TATTATTATTATTATTATTATTTTTATTATTTGTTCGTAATGCAATAACATTTGATTCTCTCTTCCCACCCTACATAGTTCTTTCTTGCACGGCGACAGAAGGCCCAGTACAGTAAAGCACAGGTTTGTTCTTCCTTCAGAGTTTATAAGGTCTCGTTTTCCAAACGCAACTTCTAATTTAACATGTCCTTCTATTGCAGGCCAGAGAGATGGAGACAATTTCTTAAATTTCAACGCCGTGTCAGATACTTTCATCTGAAATTGGGGCAGTTGTGCTGTGACATGCTATGATTTTCATACTGGGGGAAACTAAGTGTCTGTTACATGCAGAGTACAGAGCTGTTAATTTTCTTTTATTTAAAAGGGCTTCTCTTCAATTGGATTAACATTTTTAATGTTGTACAGTTTGACTTGTAATTTTTAATAAAGTGTGTTTTGTTTTAACTGTGGACTTGTCTGATAGTTTGACTAGAATTTTAAAGGCCAGTTTATTAAAGCTACTCTTGGCATTTAATAACTAATAATACACATTTGAGAGTAGCTTGTTTTAAAGTCAGCAGAGATTCAAACCATTTTGTTTTCTTTTAAACTGGTTTCTTTTAATCAGTCCCCATCCCCCTGTGAAACAATTATTAACCTAGAACTGCTTACCATTCGGGTGCATGTTAAACTAAAAATTAAACCCAAGAGGGAGAGCTAGCATTGAGCACTGAGAAATACAGGTCTGACCTGTTATTCGAGTTTCGGCTAAAAGGATCCTATATCATTTCGGTATATGCAAAGTTCAGCCTAACAAAGACTGCAACCTCCTCTGATAAACCAGGAAGCTGATTTTTATTCTAGGCTTAAGATTTAATTAGATTTTTAACAGGCATGTTAATAAATGACCACCATGTAGGGAATGAAAAGCTTAAAGAGAACTTGAATTGTAAAAATAGCTTGTTACAATGTCGGATTTGGCCAAATCACAGGAATGAACACCTTATCTAATGATTTGCAGTTTTACAAACTTTTATTGAAACCACAAAGTAACAAGTCAAATATGACTTAAAAGACATGTTTTGGTGAAGTCTTTTAGAAACAAATGCTTGGCTAATCCTCCCTTGCTGTGTATTGTACTTCCCCCGGGTCTTTATCCCAGAAAAGCCTACAGCATTTGTTTCTCAGACTAGTTTAGACAGGTTTGGGTGGATCACATGCTACCCTCCCCCATCAGTGCTCACACCTGAGTTGGGAGTCACACATACTGTGTTTCCATGGCAGAAAAGGAGGGATTAAATGACAAGGCAGATGAGGGAGGGACTTTTTTTTTGAGGAATGGAGTTTGTTCACTGTTTAATTAATTTAGTTTATTTGCATTTATACGTATTCACATTATTTTCAATGATAAAAAGCAGGCTGGTTCTTAAAGTATAGAAAGATGAGTTGAGATAACCTCATGGCCCCAATGACTGCCCTTCTGGGATAAGTGGAACGATAAACAGACTCATTTGGTTTCTATGTTGGCACCAAAATCAATGTAATAACAGTACAATATAACTGCTAAGTGTTTAAATGGTTTTGTTTTTAGTGCCATTTTCAATTGGTGTGAACATGTACAGTAAAAAGAAGTAAAGAAAAAGGCACAGAGTTTGACAGAAAACAGTGTCCCTTGGTTGCATTTCATCTTTGAGTGTGATTAGTACTTTCCAGCACTAAATGTCTGCGGTGTAAACTCAAATGTACATTTAGTGTAGATATTTAATACAGGCTGGAATGATGAATTTAATTTTAGGTTGTCTTTCGGTTCCACCAACAGCTTGATTTTTGGGGACTCCAAGTTGTTTCTAAAACATGAGCTGGTGAACAATGTTCAGCACCTAGCATCCACAAAACAGTAACTGCTGCTGGATCAGCAGACATTAAGTAGCACAGGAAAACCATACATTGCATCTGCACGCAAATATCTCTGATCTATAACTAGTGTGGCTGTCAGCTTCTACTTGAGTGAAAACACCCACTGAGCGTAGACTTGCAGCCAATTAAGAACAGGAAAATATTCTATTTCTGCAATCATTTTTGTTTTTATTTGCAGTAATCTACAATGTACTAAAATATCTATTATAATATAACTATAGTAATATTTTTGGTAACACTTTATTTTTATGGTCCATTTGAGTATTAGTAGACTGTCTGCTTAATATCTGTTGATATGCTCCTTCAACAGTCCTTTAACTGACTATAACTTTGCTAATACATGTCAACTTACACTAACTCTAACCCCAACCTAACAGAATACTTATAATTTAATGAGAAGTAGTTGGCATGTGGATGCAATGTAACTTAAATGCAACAAACGGACCATCAAAATAAAGTGACCATTTTTAAAAAATTGACGATAGATTAAATATATTTCAGTTATCAGATGTTTATCTTGTGGTGTAGCTTTGCATTGCTACTGTAATAATAATATGAGTCACAGCTAGCAAACACAGATATCAACAAAAAGGTACAGCATGACTTTATATAAACAAATGGTTCACAAAATAATAGGTAAAAAGATTTGGTTGTATGAAATGAACAAGGAGGCTGCCAAGAGTACAATAAATGTGTGTTTGCGTGTGTGTGTCTGTTTATATAATGTTCATAAAAATACAGTTTTTTATAATAACACAGTATTGTTTTGAGTAAGAAAGTATTTAAAATTGCACAGTAGATAATTATAGAAAATATTTTCCTTTGGCTTAGTCCCTGATTTTTCAGGTGTTGCCACAGCGGAATGAACTGCCAACTACTGTGGCATATGTTTTACGCAGCATATGCCCTTCTAGTCACAAACCATACTGGAAAACCACCATTTTATCCATTCCTTTTTCATTCATTCATTCATTTTCTTGTCAGCTTAGTCCCTTTATTAATCCGGGGTCGCCACAGCGCAATGAACCGCCAACTTATCCAGCAAGTTTTTACGCAGCGGATGCCCTTCTAGCCGCAACCTATCTCTGGGAAACATCCACACACACACTCATACACTACGGACAATTTAGCCTACCCAATTGACCTGTACCGCATGTCTTTGGACTGTGGGGGAAACCGGAGCACTCTGAGGAAACCCACGCGAATGCAGGGAGAACATGCAAACTCCACTAAGAAACACCAACTGAGCCGAGGCAAAGAGCTTAGAATGAAGAGCCGACACTCAATAGAACGTTCCATTGCAACAGCAGCGCCCAGCAACAGCCCTGGATTCCGTCATTTTGGAGTGTAAGTGATCGGCCATCCATTGGATCCATTACTGTTGCGATGGCAAGCAGCTGCTTTGTTTATTTATTTATTTAAAAAGCGCATTAAAGCTGAGATACAACCTAAAAGACAACAATACAACACTTATTACAATCATCAGCACATTTAATACTTTATTTTACAGACTTATAATATGCTGTTGTTCTATTGGAGTTTTCATTCCAAAATGGCCGCGCCCTCTAGTGGCTGTTAAACAAATTACACTAGAGTGTCGCCTCTTGGTCATTCTAAGCTCTTTGGCCGAGGCTCGAACCAGCGACCTTCTTGCTGTGAGGCGACAGCACTTCCTATTGCGCCTCTGCTTCGCCCCCTTATTTATTAATATTTTATTAAAAAAATGTATACGTCTCTTCAAACCTCCTGGTTCATATTTTTTCTGCTGTTATTTTCAGTTCTCCAGTACACGCAATCTAACTCATCAACCTCCATATTGTAATTTTTTAAAAAACACATACCACCAGTGTATTGCATTAAACCAATTCCTTAACCTTTACCCTCTCTCATTTTCTATATGCGTAAACATGCAAAGATTAAGAGAGATTTTACAGCAAGATTACATAAGTGAAGTATTACTCATTATGTGAATTTAATTTACTTACACTTTTGGTTGAAAACATTTCGTAACCTAACAGATCTTAAACTGCACTTGAAGCTGAATTACTAGTATCTTCAAAAATACACATGAACTGTCATGTGAACTGTTATTAGAAATTAGTTATTAAAACTATTATGTTTTACAAAAATGCTGAAAAAAGTTATTTCTGTTAAACAGAAACTGGGTGAGGGAGGGGGGGTATACAATGGGCTCACCGGCCACTTTATTAGGTACAACAATTATCCAACTGCCCGTTTCTCCAAATCCAAATGTCTAATCAGCCAATCACATGACAGTAACTTGATGCATTTATGCATGTAGACATGTTCAAGGTGATCTGCTGCAGGTCAAACTGAACTTAATAGGGAATAAAGGCGATTTAAGTGACTTTGAAATTGGCATGGTTGTTGGTGCCAGACGAGCTGCTCTGAGTATTTCAGAAACTGCTGATCTACAGGGATTTTTAAGCACAAGCATCTCTCAGAGTTTTCAAAGAATGGTCCGAAAAAGAAAGTATCCATTGAGTGGCAGTTCTGTGGGCGCAAATGCTTTGTTGATACCAGTTTGAGGAGAATGGACAAATGGCTCGAGCTGATACAAAGGCAACAGTAACTCAAATAACTACTCATTACAAACGAGGTATGCAGAAGAGCATCTTTGAAAGCACAACATGTCTAACCTTGAGGCGGATGGGCTACAGCAGCAGAAGACCACACCGGGTGCAACTCCTGTCAGCTAAGAACAGGAAACTGAGGCTAAAATTAACACAGGCTTACCAAAACTGGACAATAGAATAAAGGTAAAATGTTGCCTGGTCTAATGAGTCTCAATATCTGCTGCGACATTCGGATGGTATAGGGTCAGAATTTGGCGTCAACAACATGAAAGCATGGATCCATCCTGCCTTCTCACTAGAGGTTCAGGCTGCTGGTGGTGTAATGGTGTAGTGGATATTTTCTTGCCACACTTTGGGTCCATTAGTACCAACTGAACATTGTGCCACAGCCTACCTGCTGACCATGTTCATCTCCTTATGACCACAGAGTAGCCATCTTCTGATGGCTACTTCCAGCAGGATAACACACCATGTCATAAAGCGCGAATCATCTCAGTCTGGTTTCTTGAAAATGACAACGAGTTCGATGTACTCAAATGGCCTCCACAGTCACCAGAACTTAATCCAATAAAGCACCTTAGGGATGTGGTGGAACAGGAGATTCGCATTATAAATGTGCAGCCGACACAGTCCAGTACCTTGTCCAGTATCTTGTTGAGTCTATGCTATGAAGTATTAAGGCAGTTCTGAAGGCAAAAGGAGGTCCAACACGGTACTAATAAGGTGTGCCTAATAAAGTGGACACTGGCCAGTAAGTGATATATACATACTATTACTACTGCTACTAATAATAATAATATAAATAAATAAAATTGTATATTAGTAATCTAATAGAAAGTGGAGGAGAAATGTAAAAAAAATACTTTAAATTATCTAAACTTATCTTCACGAGATCTTACTCAATACTGTGTCAAGGGCTGCAGCGGAAAAACATTTTTGGATTCTAGTAAAAGCTTTAAAATCAACCAGGATCAACTGTATAAATATTCTGAATGAACACCAGCACATGCAGCCCATATTACAGGAGAGTAGGTGCTTTACAGGGCCTGCAGGCCACTGGTGGAGACTTGCTTCTTGGCTCGTTGTTCTTCATCTCTGCAGACAGGGCCAGTAGCAAGGCTGGGGCAGACAGGTGGTGTGCTGCTGCCATGTGTTGTTGTGTGCTTTTAATGTAGCTGGCTATCAGTAACACCAGGTCTCTCACCTAAAAAAGAAAGCAGAGAACGGGTCTTTATAAAACTATGGACCATAATTTATAAAACAAGCACGTGTGTTTGTTGTTGTGGTGTTTGAAGTGGTGGCAGGTGAAATGTTAGATGACATCATGTTATGTTTATGAATGGCAAACAGTATGCATTAGACTCTGTGTTTCTGTGTACTTTGGTGTGCATGTTCTCTATATACATTTCTGTGAGTAGTTCCAACCTCAGACCCGGGGCTGTTTTGTTATTAAACTTAAATATTCAACATTCATTTATTTTCCTTTGGCTTAGTCCCTGATTTATCAGAATGAACCAACAACTAAAATATTTGTTGTATATAAAAAATATATGTTTTAGCATGAACATTTATTTTTGGTACTTTCCAAATGCCAAAATTATGTTGAGAACAGTGATGTAGTCCTAAAAAAGGTGGTGAACTATTATCTACCCAACCCAAATTTTAACAGAAGGCAAAGAAATGACGAAAGTTTCTTTGATTCATTAGCAGTATATATTTATTCAACAGAAGTTAGCTGTAACTATTGACTTCCACAGAAGAAAAGACAAATACTACGGATTACGGTTACTGTCAACGGTTACAGGTGTACAGCGTTCTTCAAAATATCTTCTTTTGTGTTCAACAGAATGAAAAAAGACAAACCGGTTTGGAACAAGTAAAGGTTGAGTAAATGATGACAAATTTCACTATCCAATTAAAAAGGAAAAATATTTTAACAAATTTGTTCATTTTAAAGCGAGATGCTAATAGTCTAATCCTATTCATTGGTTTATGCTTAGATAATAGTGCTCCCAGAGATTGGCTAAATATATTAAGCTGTGGTAGAACCCCACTGTTTAACTCTAGCGCACTTGTAAAATGAGCATATTTAAAAATATGTATTTAATTTAATACTGTACAAAAATCCCGTTTCAAGACAACTATATCAAGTATTGTATGTTGTTAACAAACTAAAATTAAAATAAAAAAAATCTGGAAGCACACTTCTTCAAAAACCCAAATACTAGCCTACTGTTTACTCAAGGACATTTTTCAATGTATTAAATAAACAAAACTGCCACTTTTTAAAATCAAAATGTTATAAATATAAACATAAAAAAAGCACAGGCTAATTAACATATTGCACTATCATAATAGGAAATCATTTTTATTAGGACACCACATACTGTATGATGTTTCACATCATGGGCGTTGCTAGGCCTGTTTTAGGAAGGCTGTAGCCCCCCTATATTTCTACTCAGCCCCCTGTAAAACTTTTGCGATTAGCTCATAAACAGTACACTAAATTATCGCCTCAGTCCCCTTTAAATTTGACACTAATCCGGCGGCAACATTCGGCTGCTCCCCGTCTTTTGTTTTTCCTTTGATCAGAAAACCACAGCCGTGGACAGCGAGAGTACGAGGTGTGTGTTTATCGATAAATTGTTATAACATCTGCTTATTTGCAGTTCTTTGATATAGATAACCTTGTATCATCTGGATCCCAATGTCAATGTTATTCACCTCTGAGTACAAAACTAGTTGAGAAATAAAGCCTACTGGAATGTCATTTCAACTTCAGACCAGTCTGACTGTGTGCTCATTTTTTTTTCCAAGTCATCAGACTTTCGGTTTTCTTAAGGATCCTCAGAAACAGAAAAAAAACCTCAGAGTGTGAGATCACATTTGAAGAGTTTCACAAACTATGTAAGAACATAACTCACAAGATTGTGTAAGGTTTTATGCCTGGGGTGCAAGAGCTGCTGTTCCATTGAAAACAAAGTAGTAAAGAAACTCCCCATGTAATTACACTGACAAAAAGTATTAATTGGATTTACAAATATTTTTAAAGGTTTTTTTTAAGAGCACCTACCTTAGATGAGGTCATGGCAAACAGATGCTTCCCTTTGGATGTGCCAGAGCCAGAACTCTCTGCTACTACCAGTTTAAAATCTTCACCACAAACTCCAAACGTCACAATGCTTTTATAAGGGTAGGATGCAAGCACTTTCTAGTAAAAACAAAAGGTAAAGACTTTGCTCAGCTCTTTATTAACTTGATTAATGTGACCTCCAAAGCTCTCAAGTGAATGTGTTTACTATTGCGTTGAATTCCAGCACACTGATTCCATCTTCATGTACTGCCAGCCAAACTCGCACATTCTTCAATGCCGATGGAGTTACGGTCTATGGGAAGACACAGAGTGAAATAAATAAAGCAATAATGACACATCATTCTTAAATTATCATCAAAAGACAAACATCACATTCAGCCTTGGAAGGAGACTCACTTCAGCCTCGAATAGTTTGGCTCCGAAAAATGACCACTTGCGAGCCACTGTCAAGTAGATTCGTATGCACTCCGATGAAGTCTGACCTCTCAGAGATGCCCAACGTGTGGAAAGCCTCTGTATCAGCTGCCTGAGAGAACATTTCAGTGCGTAAGATGGACAAGTATTCTCTCTGAGTATTCATATTTCTTCCACCGGAGACATCAATACCTATTTTCTTCCTCAGTGCAGGTGTGTTGGTAATGCTTTGGGTAGAAGCGCTCTAGAACTTGTCTCAGGGTCTGGTTAGACTTAGTCGGAGTATTTCCTGAACCACCTGGACTAGACAATGGGTGCTCGAAGTCTCCAAACTCCACCTGTTTTGAACAAATAAGAATTTAGTGTTTACTTTAATTCAAAACCTATACTTTATTTACAAATTATTGAAATGTAATGGATATCAAAGTCAAGTCAAAGTCAAAGTCAGCTTTATTGTCAATTCAGCCACATGTACAAGACATACAGAGAATCGAAATTGCGTTACTCTCAGACCCAAGGTGCTTAACATTAATATAAAATATATATATAAAAAAATAGTAGAGTTTAAGAAAAAAAGAAAATTTAGAAAATTTACAGTATATACATTGCACATAAATGTGGTCTAAGAAATATACATATGTAATAAAAAAATATTTATTTAAATAAGCAGTTCAACAAATTCTACTGTGTAAGAACTTTAAATTGAGTCTGGAAAGTATTCATAGCGCTTCACTTTTTCCACATTTGTTTATGTAACAGCCTTTTTCCAAAATGGATGAAATTCATTTATTTCCTCAAAATTCTACACACAATACCCCATAATGACAATGTGATTTTTTTTTAAATTGTTGCAAATTTATCCAAAATAAAAAACCTGAAGAATCACATATACAGAAGTATTCACAGCCTTTGCAGAGAAGCTCTAATTGAGCTCAGGTACATTCTGTTTCCACTGATCACTCTTGAGATGTTTCAGCAGCTTAATTGAAGTTCACCTGTTGTCAATTCAGTTGATTGGACATGATTTGAAAAGGCATACACCTGTCTATATAAGATCCCAGGGTTGACAGTGCATGTCAAAGCACAAACCAAGCATGAAGACAAAGGAATTGTCTGTAGACCTCTAAGACAGGATTGTCTCAAAACACAAGGCTGGAAGGTTACAGGAAAACTTCTGCTGCTCTGAAAGTTCCAATGCACACAATTGCCTCTATTATCTGTAAGTGGAAGATGTTTGGAACCACCAGGACTCTTCCTAGAGCTGGTCGGCCATCTAAGCAGAGTGATTGGGGGAGAAGGGCCTTAGTCAGGGAGGTGATCAATAACCTGAAGGTCAGTCTGTTTGAGCTCCAGCGTTCTTCTGTGGAGAGAGGAGAACCTTACAGAAGGACAACCATCTGTGCAGCATAACACCAATCAGGCCTGTATGGTAGAGTGGCTAGACGGAAACCACTACCTGCCTGGAATTGCCATATGGTATCTGAAGGACTCACAGAAACAAAATTCTCTGGTCTGATGAAACTAAAATGGAATTCTTTGGAGTGAATATCAGGTGTTACATTTGGAGAAAATCAGGCACCGTTCATCACCAGGCTAATACCATCCCTACACTGAATCATGGTGGTGGCAGCATCATGCTGTGGGGATGTTTTTTCAGCAGCAGAAACTGGAAGACTAGTCAGGATAGAGGGAAAGATTAATGCAGAAATGTACAGAGACATCCTGAATGAAAACCTGCTTCAGAGTGGGGCGACAGTCCATCTTCCAGCAGGACAATGACACAAAGGACAATACCAAAATTTCAATGTGAGTGGCTTCACAACAACTCGGTGAATGTCCTCGAGTGGCCCAGCCAGAGCCCAGACCTAAATAGCGGGCTGAAAAAGGCTGGCCGCTGGCCCAGAAGAAGCCCCTCTATGGCCTGATCAGGCCCCGGAAGTGACAATGGAAATACAACTGTCCATGGCTCACCCTGGCACGCTCACTTTAGGCACGATAGTGGAAACGTGGCTTTGTACACTGGTGGAAGTCGTGTTAGAACAGGAAGTGGCAATCCAAACTGTGTTAGTATGCTAAAGCATTGAGTTCCTTTTACTGGAACTAAAAGGAACAACAAAAACACAGCGTAATCCACCTCCCCCTTCCACTAAACTTTACACTTGGAACAATGCATTCATGCAAATACCATTCTCATTCTTATGACAACCTCCAAACACAAACTCATCCATCGGATTAACAGACAGGAAAACATGATTGGACACTCAGTCCACTGGTGGCCTGCTTTATATTACTGTATTTCATGCTTTACAGTGCACTTGGTGATGTAAGGCCTGGATGCAGCTGCTTGGTCATGAAGCACTCTGCTCACTGTTCTCAAGCTAATCTGCACTTTGTAGGTCTGTAGCTGTTGTTTCTGCAGAAAGTTGGCAGCTTCTATTCACTGTGCACCTCAGCATGCTCTGACTCCACCTCTGTGATTTTAAATGGCCTAGCACTTCTTGATAAACTGCCGATGTTCCCAACTGCTTACATTTTGATATAATATCCACTAACAGTTAACAGTGGAGTATTTAGTAGTAAGAAAATTTGACGAATGGACATATTGCACAGGTGGCAATATGTCCATACCATACCATGCTTGAATTCAAAGAGCTCCTAAGGGTCTCACACTTTTTTACAAATGCTTGTAGTTTGCATCACTAGATGCTTATTTTGTGTTGTAATATAATGTAATGTGAATTCCTATTGCACATTTGATGTGTATGGCCATACAGACAACACTTCATTACATTCATATGAGGGGGGTTCTCTACACCACCAACAATGTGCAGCATCCACCTGAATGGCAGCCACAGAAAAACAACACTAGTGCACTTACCACACACCTGCTGCAGGAGAAGAGGATGGGGATGATTGGGAGGCCAAGATTGGGGAGGGAATTTGGCCAGGCCACTTGAGTTACACCCTATGCTTTTTTGAAAAGTGCCACAGGATTTTTAATGACCACAGAGACCATTAAAACAACAGAAATGGTTTTGGTGACCACCCGTGGCCATAGAAGTGATTGGAACACCTAATCTCAATTCTTTGGAGGGTTGTCTCAAAAAGCTTTGGTAATATAGTGTGGAATAATTTATTTCATTTTCACACAAGTTACAAATTTATCCACTAATATTCAAAGCATCAGCACTGTGTACCTGAGCAAGCAGGGCGGCCATTTCTAAAGCAAGCTCCTTGTTGACAGGGAAGTGACCAGCTGTAATTTCTTCATTTGTTTGGTATGCCAGTAGCAAACGCTCTCTCTCAGTCTCTCCACTCACTTGTTTGGAGAAGTATAACCTACAGGGAATAAACTAGAAATTAGGCCCAAACTGAAACCTGTTGCTTGTTCTGTAAAATAATCTATACTGCACCTGTTTTTATAAGTGAGTTTAACAGTCCTCGCAATCTCTGCTTTGCCTCTGTGTTGTTCCTTTGAAGCCTGTTCCCATTTTGCAATAACATCACAAATCTGAGGACACAGCACATTCATTTCAAGAAAACTATGCTCTCAGAGTACTGTTTGAATGGTGTTTTTGTCAGAATCTCACCTTCAGGTTTCCCTGAAGACAGTGCTCAAGGTCTTTGCCAGTGGGGTCATCAGAATAAAAGCTGAAACCAGACTGACCAGTTTTTCTCATGCCCATGTCCTGGTTCAGCCGACTCTGAAACTCCTCCACTGTGGTTGAAGCATCAAAACTGACAACCTAACACACACCCAAATGGAGCTTAAGTAATAAGCTTGAATTGCATACTGTTTGCAAAGTAAACACTTTTAAAGAACAGTTCATCCAAAAACAAAACAATCTATCTATCTATCTATCTATCTATCTATCTATCCGTTCATCCGTCCGTCTATCCATCCATCCATATATTAATCCATCCAACAATCCATCCGTTTGTCCATCCATCCATCCATCCATCCATCCATCCATCCATCCATCCATCCATCCATCATCCATCCATCCGTTTGTCCATCTATCTATCTATCTATCTATCTATCTATCTATCTATCTATCTATCTATCTATCTATCTATCTATCTATCTATCTATCTATCTATCTATCTATCTATCTATCTATCCGTTCATCCGTACGTCCATCCATCCATCTATCTATCTATCTATCTATCTATCTATCTATCTATCTATCTATCTATCTATCTATCTATCTATCTATCTATCTATCTATCTATCTATCTATCTATCTATCTATCTATCTATCTATTCATCCGTCCGTCCATCCATCCATTAATCCATTCATCCGTTTGTCCATCCATCCATCCACCCATCCATCCATCAATCCATCCGTTTGTCCATCCATCCATCCATCCATCCATCCATCCATCTTTCTGTCTGTCTGTCTGTCTATCTATCTATCTATATATATATATATATATATTATCTCTCTATCTATCTGTCTGTCTGTATGGAATCTTAATTCAACAAAAGCAACTGAATCCTTAGAACTATGTCAAGTGTTATAGGAAGTTTCACTGCTATATATGTATACATATATATTAATTATATACAATTATATACATATATATTAATTATAGGAATGCTGCAGAAGTTTCCTTGCTCCGTTAAAAATAATTTGGAAAATATTTTAAAAAGTGCACACACACTATGGGCCAGCTGAATGCTTGATTATGAAGACACATTTTTACATGCTCAAAGGAATTTGTTTTGAGGAAATTGATGTAACCTCTTAGTACATTTCTCATGATTTTCACAGACAAACAAAGCTGTTATTAATTCCATGATGTACCAGTCAAGCTTCAGGAACACCGTAGAATGACTCATAGTGACCACATCAAAAATCTGCTTTAAGCCACCCATATGACTCCTGCTCTCTTTTATAAACCTTATGAAGACATTTCTCAGTTCTCAAACAACACACAAAGAAAGAGAACTACTTTTATAATAATTGTTAAAGTGTTTTTGCCATTTTTGCTTACATTAAAAATAGCTACCTGAATATGAAGAATATCAAGAGAAGGAAATAATGACAGATTATTCATTACTGGATGAGCTGTTCTTTCATTGTAAGTATTGCATATGTATAAACCTGATAAGTGTTGTTAAGGAAGTGTACAGGCATGCTGAAGGGCAAAGAGTGGTGGTAGGGGTTCCTGAGTAAGATTGACAATATCTCCATTCGTGATGATCGAGCTTGCCGTTCCCCTTTTTGCTGCGTCCGCTCCAGTGAGCGTTGGCAATAGATGGCATACTTTCCCACTTCCGTCCTGTAAGCATTGCAAAGACTCAAATGAACTGAAATGAAGTGCCATGCGTTTACTTCAAGTGTATGATACAGTATCTGTTCTGATTTACCTGGAATCTCCATGTCTTTTGAGATGAACCTGTAAATACCAAAGAATAGGGTGTGTGGGCAGGAAAAGGCCTACGCACAGAGCCAGGAACTGCCAACCCTGTATTAGTAAAAATGTAAACAAGTCACACATATTTCTTTGAGTTCTCGTTTACAAAATGATAAAAACATAACCCAAGCACCCCCTCTAGTGGTGTGTATTCAGAAGACAAACATTTGATTTTTATTCATGTTACCTGCAGGGGTCCAGGTGGCCCGTTTGTCTGCTTCTTCCATGTCTGTTTGATTAGCTGGCAGTAAATCTCATTTTGCAACTCTGGATGGGTAAGACACACTTGTAGAGCACACTGGGCAAGTGTCACATGATAATCTATGGCTGAAGTGTCAATGGCCACATTAATAAAGAGCTGACACGTCTGTAAAGAAGAGTAAAAGGAGTGTTTCTGCTTGCATTTGTGAGGTTATGACTTCAGTAATGGCTTGGTGGATGACTTTGTGTAATGGAAGAAGATGTATAACCTTAAAAAGCTTGATGGCTTCCGTTTGTAGAGCCTGTGATGGCAGGGTGGTAAGTGGAAAAAGCAGTCCTTCTTTACTGAAACATAGCGTCGGGTGCCTCCAGAGCTGAGACCCTGAGGAAAAAAATACAGTTGCAGTCTAAAAGGGCAGAATGGGGATGAAATAAACAAGTTGAGAATAAATTTAAGATACAATTACGCCATAAATACATTTTAATAACATATCTCAAATCAGTCTTCGCCGCAAGCAGCACACCCACACTCTTTGATTTAATGATGTTTACCACCCCACAAATGCTTAGCTTAAGGATATTTAGGTGGCCTGAACAAGTCACTTAGCGGCTGCTTCTTATTTTACATTAAAGATAAAAGTTCCTAGTTTGAAATGAAACACTGCAAAAGATACACTTAAATCAGTGGTTCAAAACCTGTTTTGATTTCTAGGTATTTCATTGTTCACAAGACCACAGTATTCCTAATTTAATTTACAACTCAACTAAGTGAAGTTTCATAAACTAATTTCGAGAGGAGCACGTGATAGGATTGAGCACTGCTGGCCACTCATCCGTAATCAGTAACAATCCAATCAGAGTGATTCTAGCTTACTATAAATGGATCATTTTCTCCTTACTGCTCTATCTTCGTTTTTGAAGAATCCCCCCTTCCACCCCATCTCCTCCTTTTCCCCCCTTTTTTCTAAAGGGGGAGCTATCGAGACCTATCTGATCTCAGATCCCCTGATATGCTTATTAACCAGGCATGGGCCCTGGTCTCAAATATCTCCGAGCTCAGGGTTCTCTCCCGGGACAGCATGCCAAACCTGCTTTAAATGCCAAGCATATCTAAGTGGGAACTCTTGAATACAGTTTTAGGGTTCCAGAAGTTAAGAGCTGTATGCTCTTTATAATTACCAAAATTTGAAACAAATTTAAGCAATTTACATGAATCTCTACCTGACAGAAAGCTTGTCATAATTAGCAGAAAACTCGTCATAACAGAATTCTTGTGCTATGCTGTGTTCTTATTTCACCACAGATTAACTCTGTCCTACAAACACAGCTGGTGCAACAGTACGCTTGTTTTATTGTAAAATAAATAACTGAATAATAACAATAATACTTATGATATTATTTCACTTAATTTCTTCGCCTTTAAATGCTAAACTAATAATAATAATAATAATAATACTAATAATAATGCATTTTATTTAAAGGCGCCTTTCATGACACTCAAGGTCACCATACAGGACAGCTAGAACAATCAATTCAAATAAAAACACAATAAAAGTCAATAGAATACAATACAAACGTTAAAAATGCAGTCGAGTTAAAAAGAATAAGCTGTTCTAAACAGATGTGGTTTGAGTTTGGATTTAAATTGAGAGTCTAAATTACAGAGATCAGGAGGAAGTGAATTCCAAAGCTGAGGAGCAGAGTGGCTCAAGGATCTGCTCCCCATGGTGACAAGGTGACAGTGAGGTGAATGGAAGAAGAAGATCTGAGTGTTCGAGAAGGTGTGGCGATATGAACAAGATTAGCAAGATATGGAGGAGCAAGATTGTGGATGGCTTTAAAAGTAAGAAGAAGTGTTTTATAATTAATTCTGAAAGAGATGAGGAGCCAGTGAAGCTGTTGTAGAATGGGTGTGATGTGACAGATAGAGGGAGTTTTTATGTTCGAGAAAATAGATGAGAGGCCTGGTTGTCACATACTGTATTCTAAATGCACATGAGCGACAAAAACTCTGCTTGCTTGCTTGCGGTAATTTGCGGTAAACAAAATTGCCATTACTTGGTTGCAGGTCCTAAAAATGCTAATTCATCATTGTGTTCACAGACTATCTGTGGTTGGTCATTTACATATACATGTGAAAACAGGTGGTTCTTGGCCTTAATTAGCTGCATAGTTGCCTAGATACTAAACCAGTTGTAAATACTGATATTTCTTCTCCTACAGGCCCATAGTCAAGGGGTTTCAGGTGGTTTGGAAGACCCAACCCTCACTGACAAAGGTGCACAATTTGTCCCATACATGAGCTCATTTGTCCTATTTTGACTGCTATGCCATTTTAAATAGTGAAAATAGGCCATCGAAAAAAGGCTTTAAGACAAAGTGGAATCCTCTGTAGGCTGTCGGTTCGGTGTGACTTCAGCTAATCAGTTTAGTTCTATTCAAGCAAGCATTTATAATGAGTGCAGAGAGGCTGGAAAATTTGTGAAGCTCTACATTGTTGTTATTATGATTATTATGTTAGAATTTTTTATCAATCAAATTGCTAAATTCTGAGGAAAATTGAACGTGCTTTGGGCCAGTTTGTTATTTGCAGAATAAATGACAAAAGGCCACAGACTTTAACAGATTTTTTTTCTAATGATAAATAATGTAATAAATATGTATTTTAAAAACAAGTATCTTTTTTTCATATTTCTTTATTGAAAATCTTTAGGAAATATTTTTGGTACATCAAAAAGTGTGGTTATGATGACCATCCAACAAACGAATCCAGCTTAAAATGTCAATAAATCATTTAAATCTCATAATTAAATAGTAAATTAGGTGTTTAACTCTAAAAAGGTCCACTTTTTGCGAAAAGACAACCACCCCTTTCAACAGGCTGGCTACAGGCCTGTCCTATACATCTCTGGTGAAGACCAATCCAACACAGAGATGGCAAAAGTACACACACCCTTTACTTAAGTAGAAGTACAGATACTCAAGTTTAAAATTACTCTGGAAAAGTTTAAGTACTGACTCCACTTTGTACTTAAGTAAAAGTAAAGAAGTACGGCCTCAGAAATGTACAAAATTAAAAAGTACCCGTTTCGAACACAGTCCCAAAGACATGCGGTATAGATGATTATTAATTCAACTAAACTGGCAGTGTGTAGGTGTGTGTGAATGTGAGTGTGTATGGGTGTTTCCTAGTACTGGGTTGCAGATGGAAGGGTATCCTCTGTGTAAAACATAAGCTGGAATAATTATATTTTTATTCATAAATTGTCCAGGATACTATTTTTATATTTTATTATAACATTTGTCATTAAAAAATATTTGTTTAAAAATATTAATTGAGGACAACAGTATAGGCCTAGCAATAGGCAAATAAAAAAATCTATAAAAACTGAAAAACAGCATAAATTCTGCAAAATAAACCGCAATTTGATTGTTTTAGCACTAAATGTACAAATCTTTACAAAAAAGCACTATTTTTTGCGTTATTAGATTGAAAATGTCCAGAGAAAGCCCGCGCAGTATCATCAGAAGTGGACAAAAAGCTTAAGCATTAAACCGCATGCTTTTGAACTGGAATGCGTCTCTCTTGTTTACCTGTGATCCGAACGAGCAAAAGGTGTCTTATTATCTTGTAAACAGGGAAGCATCAGTCATGTTAAATTGGCAGACTCCCTCTGTCACATCTGCGAAGTCATCCTAGCCTTTCTTCTAGAAATCTTCATATACTAGCCCACGTACGGTGTGTAAGCTGAGAAAATATTATATACTATTCCTTCTATGCTAATGAAGGACTACTGAGACATTCCAAGCATAGGATGGGCCCTCCTGGTGAGGCAGAGTTCCTCACAGCTCCGATACACATCTCTGCCATTTGCTTACAGTAACCATGTGCTTTTCACCATACACAATTCATCTGCTTGTGATGTTCCTCCATATAACTTTGTCATGTTTGGTGTCATTTGACAGTTTATGACTTCAGTTTTGTAGTGATGAAATCAGCAGAGACATTGATTGATTGTATTTCAATATACAATATATTTACTATTGTTGAGTCATGGCCTGAGGAGAGTATGTTACTGCATTTCTCCTCCATTTTATTTCAACTCTGTTCTCATGTTCAGCTGGTTTTGGGGGTTGGTTTTCACTCATCTTTGACAATGCTTTGCTCAGGGTATAATAAGGAAAGGTAACTGTTGATCGGGGAGAATGGCTTTTACTCTGCATCTCCCGCACACCAGTGCGTAGCCTCATATGCTAACAAAGGCAGTTTCACTGTCTTTGTTGCTCAGCAGTACACATGTTACAGCTAATTTCTTAATACAGTATGTTAGTTTGTTACATTCTACTGTCTGTATATTTAAACATGTAACTTAATAAACAACTTTGCCTGCTTTAAGACGTAGAGATTCTTTCTCTTTATCAATGATGATAACAACTTTAATGGAGTCAGATTAATTACAATGGAGTCAGATATATAATGGATTTAAACACGCCATCCTTCAACTGCTTTCTGTTTCCGATTATTGGTTCAGAATAGCAGCGTAAGCTTCAAGCCTTACAGGTGTGTGATAGTCTTGAAAAGGCAGCGCAGTGCAGCACGAAGGCGCACAATGAGGAGACTGACTGCATCAAAACAAGAAATAATATTGGTCGAGCCACCAAACACATGAAAACGAAAGTAACGACCGTGGGTTAAAAAATGTAAGGCATAGAAAGTACAGATATTTGTGTAGAAATGTAAGAAGTAAAAGTAAAAAAATAAGTAGTGGAGTAAATTACTGATTCCAGAAAAATCTACTTAAGCAGGGTCTCTGCAGATATCATAATGTCAAATTTAAGACCTTTTAAGACCTTTTTAAGACCATTAAGTATTAAATTTAAGACCTATATCGCAATATCAAAAACACGCGAGAGAAAATGTAAAAGCACAAAATTAGGGGTAAAATAAAGTTATTTAAATTTCCCTCTCTCGCATTACAACGCTCCCGACTTATAAAACTGCACTTGCGACATTTGTCAGTGAAATAATGGCATACTCTGCCAGCCGAAATCATGTCGCGCGCACTCAAAGCGAACTTCCACAAACACAGCGATGACGTCACATTCGCCGCGCGCACTGAGTTTAATAACAGAAAGCTGATTGCTATTGCAAGTTGACTTTTTTGTAGTTGTAATACCGCAAATTACAATTGGACTAGTGAAATAATGAACTACAACACCCCAAAAGCCTAGCAACAACAACAAAAATTATTTAAATGAGCATTAGATGTAGTGTTACATGGACATCGCAAAAATAAGACCTGTGCAAAAATATTTAAGACCTAGAACAGCAAATTTAAGACTTTTTAAAGACATAAATTTCGATTTTTTAATTTAAGACTTTTTAATACTTTTTAAGACCCCGCGGGGACCCTGTTAAGTAAAGTAATGAAGTATTAGTACTCCGTTACTTCCCATCTCTGATCCAACACAATAAAAAAAATATTAAACACAATACTAAAATCTGAATATATTATTAAGCAAAATCATCCAGCATGCAGAGTCTTTCACCTTGGTTTCCATCCATGTTGAGCAGCTTACCAACCAGCTGCTCAAACTCAGTGCCCACCTGCCCCACTGCAGTTCCAGCTGCCACAGACAAATGGTAAACCCATGCCATCTATAAGAGATGAACACAGACAAAATGCAGTAATGATGTTTTGTGCCATGAAATATCAAAACTTAAAAGTTAACATATATATATTTAATACAAGCACTTGACCTTTTAAGTCCCACTTTAGCAATATATCTTTATATGTCAAAATCACTTATTTTGTCTTTGACATAAGGCTGAAGTAAACTGCAGCATGTAGACTATTTATGGTAAACTAACATGTTTAGTATAATTTATTTAAAAACTATTTATATTGTGCATTATATGTTTAAATATATTTGTAATGACACATTTTATTAGGAAGCTGGAAATTAGTACATTTAAAATTTAATTAGCACTGTTCAAATCACACATATTTCACTCTTGCTTTAGAATGTTAGTAAACATTACAATAATTGTACTTGTGTAAAAAGTGATTTAAAATATTACCTTAAATATTACCTTTAATTTTACAAACGTAAAATGTTACTTTTTAAAAGAAGACACTAATAACAGTCATTAACTTGTATTCCCCTTTAGCACATTATTGTACATTTTATTTCCTTTCATTAATATGCTGTTAGCTCCTGACTGTTTGTAAAATTCTGAGACTTGAATGTGCTTCGCTGGCTCAGTATGGCACAATGACCTTCTCATGAGGCGAGTCGATCAGCAGGTATGTTGACCCCTGCCTGCCTGACTGAACGGAGATGGTGTGTTGAGCAGAGAGTTCAGCAAGGTCACATGACTTATGTTCTTCCTCCACACGGGCCTCCCACATTTTGATTTGACCTAGGGGAAACTGAGTAGGGAAATTTGATATTAATGCATGAACGTACAAATGTCATACAAGATTACTTTTTATTGAAGGAGACAGAAGACCTTGTCCTCTTGATTTCTGAAAAAGTAGAGAGTCTTTCCAAAAAGGGCACACCACACATGCTTAGAGCAGCCATGCTTCACCTTAAAGAGACAATAGATGATACAATCAGTTACAGTAACAGACATGCATTACAGTATTATCCAGCATACTATTAAGCCTGTAACACTTTTGATCAGGGTGGGTTTATTTTTAAATGTTGTTTTACTACAAAAACAATATTTTTATCCTGCCTCTACTTTGTGACCTTACCAATTCTCATTCATCTACCTGTGCCTTGTATTGGAAATACACACTTTTCACTGTTCATTGCTGTAACTGGGTCCTTATTCCTGTAATTGCTAATATATTTTTGTATTTTGATTTTCCTTCGGCTTAGTCGCTAATTTATTAGGGGTCTCCACAGTGGAATGGACCGCCGACTACTCTGGTATATGTTTTACGCAGCGGATGTCCTTCCAGCCTTCATTTGTAATCACAATTGTTGATTATTCCACAAAATATTGACCTCTTAACCAGGGGCATTGCTGGACTTAAAGCTCTACTGGGGCACAGCTACCCTCAAAAAATAAATAAATAAAATAAATAAATAAATAATAATAAATAAATTAACAATAATAATCTCTCTCTCTCTCTCTCTCTCTCTCTCTCTCTCTCTCTCTCTCTCTCTCTCTCTCTATATATATATATATATATATATATATATATATATATATATATATATATATATATATATATATATATACATACAGTTGAAGTCAGAATTATTGGCCCCCTTTTGATTTTTTATTCTTTTTTAAATATTTCCCAAATGGTATTTAAAAGAGGAAGGACATTTTCACAGTATGTCTGATAATATTTTTTCTTCTTGAAAAAGTCTTATTTGTTTTATTTCGACTAGAATAAAAGCAGTTTTGAATTTTTTTAAAACTATTTTTGGGACAAAATTATTAGCGCCTTTAAGCTATTTTTTGATAGTGTACAGAACAAACCATCGTTATAGAATAACTTGCCTAATTACCCTAACCTGCCTAGGTTACCTTATTAACCTAGTCAAGCCTTTAAATGTCACTTTAAGCTGTATAGAAGTGTAAAGATAAAATAAATCAGTTATTAGAAATAGGTTTTTTAAACTATTATGCTTAGAAATGTGCTGAAACAATCTTCCCTCCATTAAACAGAAATTGGGAAAAAAAATAAACAGGGGTGATAATAATTCAGGGGGCTAATAATTCTGACTTCAACTGTATATATATATATATATATATATATATATATATATATATATATATTATAAATAAACAGTTTGATTGTTATTATACAATTATTATTCTAAATAAATAACAGAAATTTAGCCTAAATATAACTGGAAAACATTCTACAGACACAACTGGAGAGATGCTAAGATAATTTTAAAAATCTTTTCCATGAATATTATTTTATTTATGAAATTCTGGTAACACTTTACAATAAGGTTCATTAGATAATGCATTTACTAACATGAACTAATCATGAACAACACATGTGCAGCATTAATTAATCATAATTGAACATTTACTAATGCATTATTAACATCCAAGTCCATGCTTGTTAACATTAGTTAATACACCATGAGTTAACATGAACTAATAACGAACTACTGTATTTTCATTAACTAACGTTAACTAACATGAACAAATACAGTAGTAAATGTTTTGTTCATTGTTTGTTCATGTTAGTAAATGCATTAATTAACATTAACTAATGAACCTTATTGTAAAGTGTGACCGAAATTCTTTAGACAATTCAATTGAATACAAAAAAAGATGTTTTATTGAATTATCTGTTGTGTGTTGTCTTAGACCCCACTCATGGCTGAGAATTAGGTTTATTAAGTCTAACCTCCCTGACTTCCTCCCTCCTTTCTACTTCATACAAAAAAAAAAAAAAAAAAATCTATCAGGAGCCATGCTTAGTACAAATAAGATCATCGTCATATTATTTAAACTTTGTTTTGTCGACTTGCAAAACTCACTGCTTGTCAACACCACATAAAAGACTATTATGGCGGTTTCACAACTTGAACGGCGCAGCTATTTTTCCGCTGTGCATATTCACCACCGGGATTTACAGCATCAAACAGGAGCGCTGCGTACAGCGTGCAGGTATGTCTTTTTCTGCGCACATGCTCAATTTGCGTTTGATTAAATAACAATGCTTTCATCGTTGTTGGTTTGGTTGCATATAGAGAATAACATCTTTATTGTTTATTTATTTATTTATTTTTATTGTTTATTTTTACTTTATTGATTACCACTGTTAATAAATACACTTGCATATAAAGTAATTCTTATCTCAAACATTTACTGGGACACTGGCGATTTTTACTGGGGCACGTGCTCCAGTAAATGAGGTCTAGCGACGCCACTGCTCTTAACTCTTCTACAGTTATTGTTAAAGGTATTGTGTTCTCCTAAAATAAATAAAAATATGTCTGACATAGCACCTTTTTATTATTATCTGCAAAAAACATACACACATGCTCTAAATGAAAAGATTTCTATTCTATCTTTGGAAGAAAAATCATTAGTTGTTTACAGAATAAAACTACGATTACATTTTGCTCAAAACATAACTTACAATTTTAAGTGGCAACTTAATTTTCTCAATAACAGTAAGATAAGAGTTTTCTTTGCAACAAGACACTTTACCATCGTCAAGTGTCCCTTAATAACAGGCCGCATGTCCAATTGAGTGAATACCGGACTAGCGGCCTTGATCCTCTGGACACTCTGAAGAACCCTCACCCACTCCTCCAGGAGGTTTGGGGAATCCGCCTTCAGATAACACACACTTTTACCAGTGACTACCTAAGGGACATGACAACATTATGTTTAATAACATGCTCCTGGATCAGTGATCAACAAACAATATCACACAAATACTTTACCTGAAGCATCTGTTTCTCATCACCACGTGTTATAGTGCTACATGCATTCAGTTCAATCTGGCCGAGGGGTTTACGAATGACATCACTCTAAAAAACAAAATAAAAGATATCTGTAGCTTTACTACCTTATTAGTAGGCAGTTTAGTAAATGGTGGATTAAGAAATATACAAAGCACTAAAACTAAAAGACAATAAAGTGGATAGAAAGAACTTAGTACTTAAAAATGATAGAACCTCTCCTTGAACCACTTTCTTTTCATAGTGGAGAGCTTTGAGTGCCTGAATGGTCTTAGGATCTACAGTGCATTCGGAAAGTGTTCATAGCGCTTCAATTTTTTTAGAGATCTGTAAATGGCTGTACATCATCGTTTCCCATCCAACCTGATAGAGCTTGAGCGGTACTGCAAAGAGGAATGGGCAACAATTCCCAAAGACAGGTGTGCCAAGCTTGTGGCGTCATATTCAAAAAGACTGTAAAGGCTGTGATTGAACAAAGTATTGAGCAAAAGCTGTGAATACTTCTGTACATGTGATTCTTCAGGTTTTTTATTTTTAATTTTAATTTTAATTTTTAAAACATTTGCAACAATTTTTTTTTTGCAACAAAACTTTTTTCACATTGTCATTATGGGGTATTATGTGTAGAATTTTGAGAAAATAAATTAATTTAATCCATTTTGGAATAAAGCTGTAACATAAAAACATGTGGAAAAAGTGAAGCTCAATGTATACTTGGCCGATGCACTGTATATTGTCTGGAGTAAATGCCCCTGGTAGGGTCTTCCATAGTCTTGCGTAGCCAGACCTCAGACTGAAGGTCTGAAAGCTTTGGCTGCTTTGAATGATCAAGGATTGCCCACTAGATTATATATGACTGACAGGTTAACAAACCAATCACTTTATTTGATTTTGTGCAGCACCTTGTTTTTGTTTTTTGTAATGTCCTCAGAATAAACAGCCCATAATGTAACAGAATATCAATTATTCACAAATGTCTTTGAATGATTAACACATTGACACTTCGATATTCTAAACCAGGGGTGCTCAATCCTGTTCCTGGAGATCTACCTTCCTGCAGATTTCAGTTGCTACCCATTTCAAACACACCTGCCTGGAATTATCAAGTGGTGTTCAGGTCCTAATTAATTGGTTCAGGTGTGTTTGATATGGGCAACTGAAATCTGCAGGAAGGTAGATCTCCAGGAACAGGATTGAGCACCCCTGTTCTAAACCATCTGTCAGTAAAACATATGGGAAATGATGGGAATCAGTGATAATGAAAGCATATGTGTGAAGAGAAACTGAACAAAGAAAAACAGAACAGAAAGTTCATAAATGCACAATGCAATGTGTTAGACCAGTTAGGACCAGTTGAAATTGTGCTTTCATTGATTTTGATTGCTTCTATTTCCAGTGCTGTCAGTTGAATTTTTTTCTTAAAGTAGAACACGTGTGTATAAACACTTTTTAATTTGTAATTTTGTAACTTTGTACACTTTGTAATTTGTAAGTCAGTATTGGATAAAAGCATCTCCCTAAAAACTAAACGTAGAATAAAATTATTAAAAATTACAAAAGGCATTTAAACTGACTGGTGATTTGTAGAATAGAAGCTCTCCATCCTTCAGAACAAACCAGTGCCTTTTCCATGCTTTCTTCCATGTCTTTACCATCTTGAGCAGGTACCCGGATTTCTCCATAGACTCCTGGGAAACACGAAATCAAATCACCATTATTTCTATAGCACTATACACAATACAGATACAGATTAGATTCAACTATGGAGACAATTTAGATGAGGGAGCTTTAAAAACAAGTCAATATTTCACTGCTTGTTCAATTCAGACAAAGAGCAGTATGAAATGGATCAGTCTGAAACAAGTTCAACTTAGCTACAAGCAGTTTTACAGGTATTACAGTTTTACTATATACCCCATACAGCTTAAGACATTTAAATTAACATGTATGTGTGCATATGTATGCTTACATTCAGAATGTTGCCACTGGATGAGCAGGTCTTTGGCTGTTTGCTTTCAGGTTCAAAGCACTCTGTATCAGTGGAGTAGGCATCAGGGGGTATGGCGTAGTCACTCTCAGATGTCATCGAAGACAATGAGACAGCTGAGCAAAACACATCAATTTACTAAAGTTTGTGCTTGAAGACATAGTTTCTAAATTACATGGGTGGTACAATGTAAATTAGGCTGACATTACATGCTAGAATAATTACATGCTAAAAACATGATAAAACATACTAAACTGTGTTATTAGAAATAAAAAAATGACAAGCATTCTATGTGGGATATATTTAGCAGTAAGGTTAGGATTACATATGTGCAGTTTGTAGAGTATAAAACCATCACATCTATGAAGAGTACCTGTAAGCCGCATTTACATATTTTTATGTGTATTTAAAGTGTATTGTGTGTATTTATTTAGTTTTTGGAAATTTGCAGGGAAGACTTTTGAGAAGACTGACATTAGTTCATAATTAATAAAAAGTAATGTAAAATGCTCTTGAATTGTCTGAGAAATTCTGCTGCTTATTGAGACATGAAAACAGGTAGACTTCACATTTAAATAGTAGTCTTTTTACCCAACCCTACGGTTGGTCAATCAAACCAATACAGTCAAAATCTATGAAATGGTCCCCTACATGAATCCATTGTATTCTCTGGATACTAAAGTTAACTCTTTTTCCATATAATGGAGATCATAGGGACCATTTTAAATACGCTTTCTTAACACTTTTGTAACCAACAAAATCCTTCATGATTATTTACAGGGTTAGTTCAGCCAAAAATGTAAATGATGTAATTACTAAGCTTAATATCCTTCCAAACCACTGAGATTTTCATTCATCTTTGGAATGCAAATTTAGATTTTGATTAAATTTGAGAGCTCCCTCATCCTTCATAGACAGCACTGGCCCTGGCTCGCTCAAAGTGCAAAAAACCAAACCACTCAACCAACCGACCAACAATTCAACCAACCAACCAACCAACCAACAATCCAACCAACCAACCAACCATCCAACCGACCAACTGACCGACCGACCAACTAACCAACCAACCAACAATCCAACCAACAATCAAACCAACCAACCAACCAACCAACCGACCAACAATTCAACCAACCAACAATCCAACCAACCAACAATCCAACAATCCAACCAACCAACCAACAATCCAACCAACCGACCAACCAACCAACCAACCGACCAACCAACCAACCAACCAACCAACCAACCAACAATCCAACTAACCAACCAACCAACCAACCAACCAACAATCCAACCAACAATCAAACCAACCAACAATCCAACCAACTGACCAACCAACCAACCAACCAACCAACCGACCAACAATTCAACCAACCAACCAACCAACAATCCAACCAACAATCAAACCAACCAACAATCCAACCAACCAACCAACCAACCAACCAACCAACCAACCAACCAACCAACCAACCAACCAACCGACCAACAATTCAACCAACCCACCAACCCACCAACCAACCAACCAACCAACCAACCAACCAACCAACCAACAATCAAACCAACCAACAATCCAACCAACCAACCAACAAACCAACCAACAATCCAACCAACCAACCAACCAACCATCCAACCAACCAACCAACAATCCAACCAACCAACCAACCAACCAACCAACCAACCAACCAACCAACCAACCGACCAACCAACCAACAATCCAACCAACCAACCAACAATCCAACCAACCAACCAACAATCCAACCAACCAACCAACCGACCAACCAACCGACCAACCAACCAACCAACCAACCAACCAACCAACCAACCGACCAACCAACCGACCGACCAACAATCCAACCAACCAACCAACCAACCAACCAACCAACCAACCAACCAACCAACCAACCAACAATCCAACCAACCAACCAACAATCCAACCAACCAACCAACCGACCGACCAACCAACAATCCAACCAACCAACCAACAATCCAACCAACCAACCAACCAACCAACCAACCTGAAAATAAACCATATGCCCTCAACATTATCAAGATAAAAGAATTATAACAATGTTATTGCTCGAAGGTAGAATTGTAATAGCACTTCCAATAGTACCTGCAGGATTCCAATTTGCATCTTCCTGGTTAGCAACCCTGTTCTTTAATCACAACCTAATCTTGTGTACTATACCTCTCTTAAAGGAGTGGGAGCTCCTGTGGCTCTTATGTGACTCTGATCCAGAAGTCTGGGCTTTTTCATCCTCTCCAGAATTAGACTGAAATTCCTCTGAGCTCTCCTCCTCTTCAGAACTAGATGACTCCTCTGAACACGTACTATTGCTTAACAAAGTCACATTCTATGAAAATAAAAACAAACATGGCATTCATAAACGTATTTAAAAAGTATTTGTTTTCTTCTAAATTTAAAAACACTCAATGGTTCTTACCCCTTTGTGTGTGGTGAAGACAGGTGTACTGTTGTTGCTGTAGATAAAGGATGTGTAGAGCATGTAGGAGGGGCATGAAGATGCGTTGCAGTGGTCTAGAAAGAGCATAGGACAGTCTCACTAGTATTCAATGACAGTTTATTTTTTTCAATTGCTAACTAGTGTTTACCAATACTTAAAGGCCTTTTCTAAACTCTCAATTTTCTAGCCAAAACCACATGCAGTTAAATAAAGACTTTACATTTCAAAATGCTGGATACTTTTTTTATATTTACTATTTCTATCAAAACAAAGTGATCCCGATTCAAAACAGATTCATTCAGTCAAAACATTACCACTAGTTTTCTGTGCATCAGGAACATACAGATCATTGCGGACAGACTGACAAAATGCCAACAATGAGTTGCTTTTCAAACACTGCAATACTTGTCATGTTTCAGTTGGACCTATATAGAAGATTATAAAAAATACGTTAATTGCTGACAAATTAATTTGACATAAGAAGCTGTGGCTGTAATGATTTTGGTGCCTGACATGATAGCAACCCATGAACCTGGTGAAAAGGGAGTCACATTAGACCTTACTGGCCTTTTGAAACTCAGGAGGCAGCTGATGGTTACCAACAGGCCAAGCGAGCTGAATTGAGAAGTTTGGGGAGACTGTGGAAGAGGACTATAAATTGGCAAACCATCTGGCACCCCAGAAGCAGTTCTTCACCAACACTGTTTGAAGTGGAGGAACCCTCCACTATCATAGTAATTGAGATTATGCGGTAATTAGTAATTCCCAGTTTAGCAAATCTGGCCTTATATCTAGGAATTGTAGGAATTAGATTGGGAAGTTTGGGGAGTTCGTGGAAGAGGACTATAAATTGGCTTCAAAGAAATTTTGGCAAACTGTCTGGCAACGTAAAAGCAGTTCTTCACCAATGTTGTTTATAGTGGAAGAACCCTTCACTATCATAGTGAGTAATTGAGATTATGCAGTAACTGGTAATTCCCAGTTTAGCATGTATCACTTAATATTCAGGGATTGTAGAAATTGGATTGGGAAGTTTGGGGAGACCGTGGATGAGGACTATAGATTGGCCTCAAAGAAATTTTGGCAAACCATCTGGCACCCCAGAAGCAGTTCTTCACCAACACTGTTTATAGTGGAGGAACCCTCCACAATTATAGTAATTGAGATTATGCAGTAATTGGTAATTCCCAGTTTAGCAAATCTGGCCTTATATCTTGGAATTGTAGGAATTAGATTGGGAGGTTTGGTTAGACCATGGAAGACGACTATAGATTGGCCTCAAAGAAATTTTGGCAAACTTGTCACCTTGGAATTATAAGGTTTTATCTCCGTTCTGAATGATTTCGAGAAATTGAGCTTCAAAGTTTTTGCATTCCATAGCAAACAGTATGGGTGTAACATTTGTTTTTTAAATAAAAAGTGTTAAAATGTAAACAACACGTAAAAAAAAAAAAAAAAATCCCCAAATGTAAGTAAGTTGTCATTTAATAAGAATATGTCAATAACTCAATTTTGACAAAAATGTCAGATAGAACCTTATAATTTTAAGGTGACAAATCGTCTGGCACCCCAGAAGCAGTTCTTCACCAACACTGTTTATAGGGGGAGGAACCCTCCACTATCATAGTAATTGAGATTATGCAGTAATTGGTAATTCCCAGTTTAGCAAATCTGGCCTTATATCTAGGAATTGTAGGAATTGGATTGGGAAGTTTGAAGAGACCGTGGAAGAGGAATATAGATTGGCCTCAAAGACATTTTGGCAAACTGTCTGGCACCCCAGAAGCAATTCTTCACTAATGCTGTTTATAGTGGAAGAACCCTCCACTATCAAAGTAATTGAAATTATGCAAAAAGAGGTAAATCCCAGTTTAGCAAATCTGGCCTTGTATCTAGGGATTGTCGGAATTGGATTGTTAAATTTGGGGAGACCGTGGAAGAACAATATAGACTATTTTTATCAGATTATGCAGTAATTGGCAATTCCCAATTGTTGGATTGTAAGAAGATCAATTGTTCAATCCTCTAAACTCAGCTTTTATCTAAACTCAGCCAAATTCTAACTCTAAAATGATATTCCTTGACAAGGATGTTGTTGCAGGTCTATGTTTAATTGTTTCAGACACATGACCTACCTATGAAAAACAATGATCATTTAATATGCACAATATGTGAATCCCTTGCATGACTACTTACACAACTTTCTGTGTTATTACATACTTCAAAACTGTTAAATACACCTATGATAACTCTGCCCCTCTAAATGAAATAAAAATGAACTCTTTTTGTTCAAACAAAAAGATTTGTGTGGCACGGTAGCTCAGTGGTTAGCAGCACTGTCACCTCACAGCAAGAAGGTCGCTGATTCAAGTCTAGGTTAGGCCAGGAGGCATTTCTGTGTGAAGTTTGAAAGTGTTCTGGTTTCGTCCACAGTCCAACGACATGCAATAAAAGTGAATTGGATCATTTAAATTAACAGATTTAATGAGAGAGTTTGATGAATGGGAGATTGTGTGGGTGTTTTCCAGCACTGTGTTTACGAGTTTGTATACTCTCAGTGTTAGGTTGTGGAAAGCTGAGAATGCGATATGAAAGTGAAAAGTGAAATATGACTAAATAAACATTTCTTAATATTCAATCTTAATATCTTAATAATTTCCAAACTTTTTTGTGATGCTTATCTATTTGGGCACAGTATTGCAATAAAAAAAGAAAAACACAGAATTAGCTTAAAGTTGTACCGTAAAATGTTTGATGATTGGCAGACAAAGGTAAAAAAAAAAAATGCAAATGGAAAAACAAACCTTTATTAACTACATCTGTACATGATATCTCTGACAAACGAATTCCAGATTTGGCCACAGCATATATTCTGCTCTCCTGTGGATGACATGAAGTAACAAGTTTAGCACAAGACCTAAAAAAAACTATTCAAAATATTACTACAGATTGTCACATGACTCACCCAAGAGGGCAGCCTGTGTAATGGAGGGGTTGGAGGTTTACTTCCGGGTATGGCTGCAGAGGTGTTGGGTGTTTGAGGTTCCTCGGGTAGCACATCACTATGTTCTTTTTCACCAGTCTCCATCTTTTGGTCCTCATTCATGTCTGTTTCTTGAGGCTCTAGAGAACGTAGCATGCTGATGGCATTTCTTGTGCGCCCATGAGCAGCTTTACTATACACCGGAGGCTGACTCATATGCTTTTTCAAAAGTGCCAAACTAACCTCAAAAGCATTTGGATTGCGCAGTCGAGGTTGCTTAGGGGAAGCTGGGGTGTCTTGAGAGTCCTGAGAAGGGGTGGGCCTTTTTGGTGTGAGAACTGGAGTTAGAATGGGACTGCGGGTATTTGTGTCACTGGAAGATGATGAGGAATCCAGATATTGTGACTGGAAGTGCTTGTTCAGCTCATCTGAGGATCCATCTTCAGTGTCTTCCACCTTGTTGCCCTTCTTTAAAGTGCTTTTGGTATCAGAAATACTAAGTCTGGAGCACTCCAAACGCTGCATGTCATCATCAAACAATGAGCTGCTGTCATCAGAAGTGGTGTGATAGGCCTCACTGGTGGTATGGCTGAAACAAAACCCTTCAAATAGACTTCTCTCCCCTTCCGAAGCAGTGCTTGAAAGCACAGAGGAGGCACCACAAGACAACTTGTGTCCAGTGCTTTCTTGCTCACCCTCATTTTCAGATCTCTCCTTAGAGCAACGGCTGATACGCTGTGTTTCTGGGCTCTCTTGCTTATCTCCAGAATCTGGATTGGATCAAACACACAGACTTAATTACATTATTGCACACAGTACATTGTTTTTTTTATGAATCAAAAAACAATAATCACACTGTTAATGAGCTGCACTAAAATATTTTGTTCAGACAAGGGTTTGTCAAACTAACATCAACTCTTAGCAAGTATTATGATATTAATGAGGAAAAATAGATATTTATAATGATTTTCCTGCTTAATATTGGACGTAAAGCCACCATATCAAGTTATAATATCTAAACATTACTGTTACATTAATCCACTTAGCTACCACTTTTTATCCAGTCACTTAAAGCTGCAGTATGCAGCATTGAGACGTTGACCTAGGTATTGCAGCAAAACTTCAAAACACTGAAGAGCCTTCTCATTTATGGCTCCTAAACTCTGGAATAGCCTTCCTGGTAATGTCCGAGGCTCAGAAACTAGATTAAAGACCTATCTTTTTAGTAAAGCATATACTCAGTGCATCACTTAGCGGTATGATACATAAATGTGCCCTACGCAGGTTTTTGTATCTCGTTTATATACACTATGAACAGCAGCTACGCTAATTATTCTCTTTATTCTCTATTTCCACCTGAGGATATTCATCCCGAGGCCCTCAGACTATGCAGCGCCATTGTTTCGATCCAAGGCCACCGACGAGATGAACCCAAGGTTTCTATAATCCTGGACTAGGCCGTATCCTGAGCATCTGCTGTGGTGGTCATGGAGGAGTGGAGAGCATGAGACGCTCCAGAGACTGACGAGTCTTCGCTGATGAATCTTCCAGCCTCTGGCGCCTAGACTGCAGCTCTGCACAAGATGTTTGGCCATAGGAGAAATGGTCGTGCCCAACTGAGCCTGGTTTCTCTCAAGGTTTTTTAATTTTGTTCCTCGCCACTGTCGCCACTGGCTTGCATGGTTCGGGATCTGTGGAGCTGCGCATCGACGGATTTGTTCTTCAGTGTTCGGACTCTCATTAGTGATTATTAACCACACTGAACTGAGCTAAACTGAACTTAAACACTGAAAACTGAACTACACTGTTTCAATTTACTATGATCTTCTATATGAAGCAATTAGGTATTGCTTGGGACATCGCCTTTTTCAGAGGAACAGCCTTTGGGTACCGAGTAAAACAGTCCACAATGAAAAGGATGTGTATATAGCCATAGGCAGACTTAAGCAGTGGACCCACCAGATCCAGAGCAATGCAGTCGAAGCACCTCAGTAATTGGTAGAGGTTGCTGTGGAAGAGTTCTTTGGTAGATGGGACATGTCTGGAAGGACCACTTGACTTTCAAACAGGGCCAGTTAAAGCAGTCGGAAATTTGTCGTGTTTGTGGAGCCCAGGTAGCCAGTCATTGGATGCGAGTAGGCTAACTCGCATCCAATGTATATATACTCGCAACTCGCTATATATATATATATATATATATATATATATATATATATATATATATATATATATAGTTAAGTAGCTGAAGTAACTGTTGGCATAAAATGTATTATATGGTAAAAACTCAAACTATCTATCTATCTATCTATCTATCTATCTATCTATCTATCTATCTATCTATCTATCTATCTATCTATCTATCTATCTATCTATCTATCTATCTATCTATCAGTCTATATGCATGTGATCACCTTCTTGCAGGGTACTGATGCTTCTCTGGGATGGTTCTGGGCCTGTCTGTACCTGAGGACTCTTCCCTCTGATTTGGAAACAGCCAAAAGTCAGGCTGCTAAGCCGCTTGGGCTCACCCACAATTGGCTGGAGTGTTCCATCAGAGCACTGATCCATAGCTACATCCATGACATAAAACATGACACTTATAAGTAATATTATATAAATGTAAAAGGGATTTTTTTTAAATCATAGACCAAATATTTTCCTAATTTTTTGTATAAGCACTGATTAACACTGTATTTACAGCAAAACTGAATTATTTTAAATAATGTATAAAAACTTATGAGACCAATGTTATTAATGATTCTTTGTATTTGACATTAATCTGTATGGTATATGCTTTGACTAAAACAATAATTTGTGTTTTATTTATAAACTACTGATAACATGCCTCTAAAATGAAATATGTAATGAAGTATGAAGATTGTTTTTTGTTTAGAGTTAGTTTTCCCCCCAGAGCTGATAATGTGGGGTTTTTTCACCTACTGTGCAATTTCATGTATGAATACCTTGCAGCTGTCTTCTCAGGACTTGAATCTCAGCCTCTAGCTGTTGGTGCCTATCCCTCAGAGAGGTGTTCTCTGTCTCAAACTAAAACAGAGACTGGTGACATTAATTCAACTTATAAACACTTTCTCCACTCGCTTTTCATTTCCTCCTTAGTTATAAAAACCAGAGACAGACAGACAAACAGACAGACAGACACTGCACAAGTGTAAACAGAATGAACATACTGCATTTAGCTTCCGCATAACCCATTCTTTAATTTTGGCTGCTTTTTCTTCCACAGTCCTGGCATCTTGGATTCGATTCTGTTTCTGTAAAATGGAATAATATCCATATTTAAATGGATTTAAAAAGACTTATGTCCACCGATGCAAACCTGATTGTTTTAAATTGGACTGGATGTGTGATTTACCTGTTCCTCTAGCTGTTTTTCTAGAGTGGCAATAAGCTCATCTTTCTCCTGCAGAACTGACTGAAGATTTTGACAGCGCCTGAAGAGCCTCACGTCTGAATCACTTGACTGGATATCTGATGCCTTTAGACGCTCTTCCATCCACTGCACCTTTAACACACATGCACACAATGCCAATACTTGCTATATATATATATATAGTTGAAGTCAGAATTATTAGCCCCCCTGAATTATTACCGCCCCTGTTCATTTTTTTCACCAATTTCTGTTTAATGGAGGGAAGATTGTTTCAGCACATTTCTAAGCATAATAGATTTAATAACTTATTTCTCACAACGGACTTATTTTTTCTTTGACATGATGACTGTAAATAATATTTTACTTGATATTTTTCAAGACCCTTCTATACAGCTTAAAGTGACATTTAAAGGCTTTAGGTTAATAAGGTGAACTAGGCAGGTTAGGGTAATTAGGCAAGTTATTGTATAATGATGGTTTGTTCTTTAGACTATTGAAAAAAAAAATAGCTTAAAGGGGCTAATAATTTTGTCCCAAAAATGGTTTTTAAAAAATTAATAACTGCTTTTATTAAGGGGATTTCTAGCCGAAATAAAACAAATGAGACTTTCTCCAGAAGAAAAAAATATTATCAGACATACTGTGAAAATTTTAAAAAATAAAATAAAACCAAAAGGGGGCTAATAATAAATCTGACTTCAACTGTATATATATATATATATATATATATATATAGGGGTCTGAAAATAAAACTACAGAAACACAGCCAAATTTGCAATTAGTTTTAGGTTTCATGGCTAAATTTGACCAGCTTGGTGGCCAATCTTTATTGAATGCATATTCCACCAGTAAGTTAGCTCCAACTTGCCTCAACACACCTGCCTGGATGTTTCAAATATACCTAGTAAGACCTTGATTAGCTTGTTCAGTGTGTTCGATTAGGGTTGGAGCTAAAATCTGCAAGACACCGGCCCTCCAGGAACAAGTTTGGTGACCACTGGATTAGAGTGTGATGGTTTAATTAGCAGAGTTATAGCAATAGTAATAGTTTTGCTAAAAATACTGACATTATGACAATATAATGAGTGACTTAATCATCCTCCAGCTGATCCTTGTTTACTGACTATATATTTATATATTTCAGCCTGTGGTTACTGCTGGTTATCAGTCCATTGTTTGTCCCTGTTCCTGTCTGTTGTTCCTCAGAATTCTTTGTCTGTTTCGTCAGTTGACGTCTTCGTTGTGGCCTGTGGATCTCTTTTGTTTTGAACAATTCTTTGTCTTCGGAACATCCAGTTGTATCCTTTGATAGATTCTTTCATTTTTCATTAAAGAACTTGCAATTGGATCCTCTCTGTCTAGTGTCGTGACATCTGCCTAATTATTCTAACTTGCCTAGTTAGCCTAATTAACCTAGTTAAAATGACGCTTTAAGCTGAATACTAATATCTGGAAAAATATCTAATATACTAATATGTGCTGTCATCATGGCAAAGATAAAAGATATCAGTTGTTAGAAATTAGTAATTAAAACTATTATATTTACAAATTTGTTGAAAAAACTTCTTTCTGTTAAACAGAAATTGAGGGACAAAAATATACAGGAAGGCTAATAATTCTGACTTCAATTGTATATATTTGTTTATAATTAAATATATCACTGTCTGTGCAAATAATACATTCATTATTTTTAGCATTTACCTGCTGGTTGGCTTCATATGCACGTTGTTCTGCTTCCAGTACCTGGGCCTCCAACTGCTGCATCTAAGAGAGCAAAGAAGTTTGACTAAATGAAGGAATGACTTTATACAAATATTTGTATATGCACTGAATCTACATTAGAATTATTATTAAAAAATCTATTTAATACCTAACATTTAGCATGTTACTAGGGAAAATCAGCTGAATTTGTAAACATGCTCTTTCTGCTGGGAATACAAATAAAATATGTATTTTGTTATGCCAGAAATGCAGCATGCCAAATAATAATACAACAACATAAATACAATATGTGCCAAGTAGGTGCCAATATGTGCCAAGTGGGGATGCCACAATTCTTAATTTCGGTACAAAATTAACAAAATTTACAACCGTTCGGTACAACATCCACGGTTCAATACACGTTTGTGAATTGCGTTTGTGAACTTTACCCTTAGTCCTCCAAATGTAACAATGGTCATTATGGCCAAACAGTTTAATCTTATTTCCATCAGACCACAGGACATGTCTCCAAAATTATTATTTCCCAGTGTAATTTAGCAAATTGTAATCTGGCTTTTTTGTTGATTCTGGCTTGTTGATTTTCCCATGTTGTCATACAAGGAAGCAGTTTGTTTGAGGTTTTCCTTAAATAATATTCTACAGTTGTGCCAAACTCAAATGTTGTCAATTAGCCAATCAGAAACTTCCAAAACCTTGATACCATCATCTGAGCTTTTTCAGAGGCATAAAAATCTTATTTTATGCAAACTTGACTTTCAGGAAAAGTTATAACAAATTCTGATAATAAATGTGATAATCCCAACTTACCTAAAAGAGAAAAAGTTTAGTCACATTAACATCTGACTTTTATTGAAATGGTTATGTGCCTTTTTATACAGTGTATGTAAACTTCTGGTTTCAACTGTATATGAAGATGTTCAAACGTATAAGGCCAAGGCCAAATCCAAATCAAAAAATAATTATATATTTTTTTTATATTTGCATCTAGACTAGTATAGACATGTTTGATTTATTGTATTTATTTCTATATTTGTTTAAAAAATATATACCACAGATGCTAACAAATTCTATCCATTTTAATTTAAAAACGCATTGTATAAAATTATAATTATATCATTGCAATGTTAATGCATGTGATGTTAATGATGCTAAGATGTTTTGTTTTTTTCCCATTTCTTAAGAAAATGCTGTTAAAGGTGATGAGAGCATTGCTCCTGCTGTTGGTTCTGCAACATGCTAGTAGGATATTTCTGAACTAAACTGAACTTCAATGGTGAAAATGGTATGAAAACATTTCCTGTAATACTGTTCTTGTGATATATTCATTCATTCATTTTCTTGTCGGCTTAGTCCCTTTAAAAATCCGGGGTCGCCACAGCGGAATGAACCGCCAACTTATCCAGCACGTTTTTACGCAGCTATTGCCCTTCTAGCCGCAACCCATCTCTGAGAAAAACTTGCGATATATACGTTTTGTTTTTTTAAGTGTTGTCAAAGATTTTTTTTTTAGGAAAACAAGTCTCTCCAGCAGCAAAGGATCATCCACATCACAAGCTAATGGTCAGCACATTTCAACAAACATTAGAAAAACAAATAGCTTAGTTTCACATTTATATTTCTGAAATTCATCTGTACTGTGGGTGTGGGTGTTAAGCACTGGAACAATTTCCTTATTTTTTGCTTGGGCAGAAGCATCATCACCAACATGTTTCTCTTAGGGTTACCAAAAGGAAAATAGACAAATATGACCTAACAGACTGCTCATAGTTACTGCTACAGCACTCATATTTTCCACTGAACACCATTCAAAAGTGTTTTATGTGCGAATGTGAGCCAGCTCTGATGAGTCTTACTAACAGCCTCTCTATTATACAACTCTACATCATTAAAGAAGTTTAAAGGTGCTGTATGTATATTTTTGGCACCATAAATTATAGAAACATCATAATATGTTAATAGATATTTAAGTAACATGCTAAGTATTTTTTTTTATCAAAGATTTTGTGCAGCTTTTATTTTTTGTGCAGCTGTTTATTTGTAAACAAGGAGGAAAACCCCTGTGTTTGAATTGTATTTTGCTCAAAAATGTTTAATAAAGTTTTGATAGCTTTAACTCTCAAGTATGGGAAAATACCAAGCGGCAACCTCCCACTCTCCCCCAGGAAGCCAATACGGAAGTAACTAAAACTGCAATTCATCCGAAATTCCGCTAGTCCTGGCCGCTCCTGGCTCCAAAACAGAGCAAATTTCAATTGAGCCCACGGTTAGAATGGCCAACTTTACAGCAGAAAAAAAGGTGTTTACAGCCTGGTACAAAAAAAGATTTTGGTTTATACAGCTAATATTACCCTTCATGACAACTGTGAGGGGGGTGAATTTTTTTATAACTCATCCGTTTCCTTTATATTAAGTTATATTAAGTTTGCATAATTAAGGGCGTGGTCACTTGATTGACAGCTAGGTCTCGTTGGTCGCCGTCACGTCACCTCAGCTGAATCCTGCAGATTAGCCACTGAACTCGGCATATTTATCGTGTTTCTGTGTTGTTTTATGTGGCTTTACACACTCAACTGCCTTTTGGCTTTGTTTCCCACAATTATTAGATGGCATGGCATGCTGAAGGCACTTAATTGTGCTCACAAACCATTCACGTTGCCTCCGTTTCTCATGTGAGTAAAGTTATATACTTATATACCATCTCTGTACATGTATTTGTTTTATTTAAGATCATTTATCGTTTATATTTAGAGCTGTAATGCACTCCAGAATCTGTCAGATTGATTAGCTGTAGGCTCTAGAACAGTCATCTGAAGCGTTGTCATACGGTGTTATGCTGGATTTCATCAATAGTCTTACATTTACTAACACAGACTATATCTGAAGTGTTTGGATGTAATTCGCGTTTTCCTCCTGTTGAAAAACGTCATAAGAACAATGTTTAGTGGCTCAATGTATTACAGCAGTGTTTTTAAAAGTCTAAACACTTTATTGATATAGTGTACAACCAAGCACAAGTGGTCAGAATACAAACGAGTCACAGGTGATAAAGTATTAAGCATTTCTCCCAAAGTAAAGTGTGTCTGAACCAGGTCCAAGCTAAATGCTAGCAGGTGTCTGTAGCTCCGCTCACTCTCCACCTCTTTGCCCTTGTTTGGTATCCCGCCGTGGGTGTGATGACGCGTGACCAAAATGGCGACGGTTGGCCGCGCCTACTTGTGGCTTCTTTTGCGCTCCTTAGAAACCTATGGGTGACGTCACGGATACTACGTCCATATATTTTACAGTCTATGGAAAATACCAGCAGGTGTATCGATCGTTTGAGAAGTGTGAGTGCTCTGAATCGGGCTCAGGCACGGTTCACTTGGTTGGCCCTGGCCCTGTTGGAGGAGGTGTGCAGACCGCGGTTCACTTAGGCTTTGGAGTGGTACGCTTGTATGTGAGTGCAAAACGCGCCTGAGCCCAAAAATGAAAGAAAGACGTGACTTTTAAGCAACTGTTTCATATGGATTAATTCATCATTTTTACCGTTTAATGAACGCAAACTGTCGTAGATTATTAAGGACGCAAAACCCTAACTGCACCACAGCTGCACTTTCAGCAAACCTAATTTCTGCAGCACGAAAACTTTATGATTGTTTATGAGCGCCAAAAGTAGCTGATCTGTTCGGCGAAATATTTGACTGTGTGTCACTGCATATCAAACAAACTAAAGAAATCTCCACTGTGCTGAAGCAAAAGCACTTACTGACCAGCGCATCAAAAAGTATAAATATTACAAACATAAACATTAGTTGAGCAGCATACATTGTAACACTGTGTCGCAACAACACACACTAGATTCCTGCAACAAGCAATTTGGTTACCTGCACCAGATTCGACACGTCAGAAACATTGAAATACAAAAGCACACAAAACAGGTAAGGCTTATAATCTAATTAATATAGATTGACCCTTTATAAATTTGTTGTAAGTAAATGCTGAGTGACTGATATTTGTTGGTTTGCATTTGTTGGTTGGAGTCACAGTTTAAACTATACTTTTATTTTATTTTCAATATATGCTGCTTCTTTTAGTATTATAATGAATGTCAAATAAAAAAGCTTGCAAAGTCATTTAACACTGAATAAAGCATAATCAGTATCATCACCAATAGTTATTCAAACACTGGCTGTCAATCTTCCCTACTGCACCTTTAATAAGGCTCAGAATGCAATGAACAACGGACAAAAACTGCAAAATGTTGACTCTGAAAGGGTCAGATCCATGTACTCTTTTCATGCTTTGTTTCTTTATGCTATTTGTTAGACAACAGACACAACTGTGCTTTGAAACTGACAATTTGCATTATTTTGGAGACACAAGACTGTGTTTAACATATAAGCTCCCTCAGAATGTATTTCAAAATTAAATTTGTAATCTTTCAGGGGCTAATAATTTTGACCTTAAAATGTTTTTAAAAAAATTAAAAAACTGCTTTTATTCTAGCCAAAATAAAAGAAATAAGACTTTAGAAGAAAAAATATTATCAGACATACTATGAAAATTTCCTGAATCTGGTAAACATCATTTATATTTAGAAAAGCAAAAAATAAAAAATAAAAAAAATTTAAAAAATCAAAGCGGGGCTAATAATTCTGACTTTAACTGTATATATATATATATATACATATATATACAGTTGAAATTATTAGCCCTGTGAATTATTAGCCCCCCTCTTTATTTTTTCCACAATTTTGTTGTGGAAAAAAAATTTCAACACTTTTCTAAACATATTAGTTTTAATAACTCATTTCTAATAACAACTTTTATTTATCTTTGCCATGATGACAGTAAATAATATTTGACTAGACATTTTTCAAGATACTTCTATTCAACTTAAAGTGACATTTAAAGGCGTAACTAGGTTAATTAGGTTAACTAGGAAGGTTAGAGTAATTAGGCAAGTTATTGTATAATGGTGGTTTGTTCTGGAGACTATTGAAAAAAAATAGCATAAAGGGTATAATAATTTTGTCCTTAAAATAGTGTTTAAAAAATTAAAAACTCCTTCCTCCAGGTGAAAAAAATATTATCAGACACACTGTGAAAATTTCCTGAACCTGTTAAACATCATTTAGGAAATATTTAAAAAATAAAAAAATTCAAAGTGAGGTTAATAATTCTGACATGAACAACAAATGAACATATATATATATATATATATATAGTTTAGACAATTTTATTACTTCAGTTTACTAAACACATCATGTCCATCACACTTAAATTATAAGTCATATTAACTTTAGTTTTAGTTGAGACAACTGAACCAATTTTAAACTTAAACCATGTCCATTACATTTGAAGTATCAAGTCTTATCATTACATCTTAACTATGAAAGTTAGCTAAACTTAGACCTCATCCATTACACTTGTCAAGTACAGTACTGTCAATTTTAACCTGATTTAAGACAACTTCACTGTTTAAATGAAGTAAACTAAAAAAATTTAAAGCAGCACAAACGTTTACTTTTTAAAATTGAAACAACAACAAAAAAAAATGTACAGTGTAGACAATCATTTTACTTATGATTCCTTCACACACAGCAAATGTCTCCACAGGCTATTCATACATGCAGGCTTACTGAGTACAGATATATTCATACTGCAACAACCACAAAGACACGCATGCTGTACACACGGGTACACACCCAACCACATCTGGGGCCAAGCTAGTCCAACACTGCCCAATGACACAGATATAGAAAATAAAAAATAGCTGTGTAATTACATACTGTTTTGAAAACATCTGCACAAACCCAGTGGATCAGCTCGGTTGCAGGACAGTGATCCATAATAATATAAACCTATATTAATCTGATCACTGAATTCAACTTAAACAAAACCCTGTACATGAATGCCTGTGTGGTAACTGTTTGATGCATTTACACGTTAAAAATGACTACTTGCTCTATCATTCACAAATTATAGGTTTGATCGTAATAATCTAGGAAAAGTCTGTAAAATAACAGTGTTTTTCTGTAATCCTTTTAATGAAAATATCTGTAGATTTATTATTATTTGCACTTTATTTCAACAAAGACATTTTACCGTAATTTTATGGTTTTTGTTTGGCAGCCGTAGCTGCCAGTCATTTGACCTTTTTTTTAACGATTTTTTTTCTTACAGTGTGTGTTTCAGGAGACGGATTAGATCAAATTTACAGGAAGGGTGGATAGTACATTTCCATACACACAAACAGGAGCTTTTTGTCAGGAATGGCTGTGTGGTCACTTAGAAATCAATGTAGAAAAGTGATGTAAAATTATAATTTTGTAATTTAAAAAAAATTGCATTCTGACCACCTGGAAAACTCCCGATCATATATGTATGTATATCTGTATTTCTCTGGCTCTGGATGGCCACAGTCCTCCACTGCAGCTTGGTCCCGCATTCATTTCAAAGGAGCGCTGCCTGTACTAAAATGGCAGCTAGTTGTACATTTTTTGTCTTTAAGCAATTAAATGTATACCTGTTTCAAATGCATTTTGCAGGGCATTTACCGGAGATAGCTACCCAATCCGAAAAAAAATGCATGAAGTGACTACATCCCCTTAGATGTCTTTCTTAACACATCTGATTTCAATGAACAGCTCATTTGGAGAGAGCTACATGCACACACAAAATGTGCAGAACCGAGGGGTGGACTGAAGTTTATTAAATTGATGAATATGAAATAGACAGTGAAGTTTTCTTCACACGGCTCACACTGGACATTTGTTACAGTTTTGAGTTTCTTTACACAGTGAGAAATATACTTTTCATTCATTTCATTTCATTTTCCTTCGGCCAATTTAGTTGATTTAATTTATGTCTTTGGACTGAGAGAAACTGGAGCACCCGGAGGAAACCCAGGCAAACACAAGGAGAACATGCAAACTCCACATATAAATGCCAATTGATTCAGCCGGGACTCAAACCAGTGACCTTTTTGCTGTAAGGCAACAGTGCTAACCACTGAGCCATTATGTCGCCCATATACTTTTTATATCAATAAGTAAACCAGAGGAGAAAATGACCTACATTTTTCTTGCTGCTTGTTTATGTACATATTTAGTATAGCCACTTCCTCTATAGTACAAAACCAGGCATTTCCTCCCTTGGGATTTTCAGTGATTAAAGTTTAGTTATTTTTGCACTCTGTAAGCCTGTCTTTTATCTCACGTTACTCCCATTTTCTTTTCCTTTCACTTGTATTACTCCTCATCATTCAGCAAGGCAAACTACAACAATATGAGGCAGCTCACTGAATTGAAACTATAAAAGGGTTCACAAGTTCAAGATTGGGTTTATTTTTAAACGGCTGATTTCTTGCACAGTGCCACACCAAAACATTCATGTGGATGGAATACAAAAATATATTTGTTTGTATCACTCCGCTTGTCTGCATTTTAAATTGATTGTCAGTCTGAAATTTAACCCTTTTTGCAAATTATTTCATTACAGCAGACAGCAGAGTTGTAGACAAGTGAGTGAGACATCTGAATAGTTTAGAACCCATTTATTAACAGTACCAGATTTAATTGAGAAACAGAACAACTTCATAAGTATACTACAATTAATAACTCACTAAAATGTACCAGTAATTACATTAAGAAATTTGAACAGATTCGTTAAAAAAACAATGAGTAATGAAGGGCTGGCTAATTTAGTCAGAGATTAATTTCCTTGAAGCATTCTCGTACACACTCCACCATGCCAGCACATTACAGGTGTGCTTTATAGCTTGTATTGGCTCCCTGTGCAGTCACGCATTATTTTTAAAACACTCGCACTTTCATATAAAGCTCTACGTGGGACATTCATTCATTCATTCATTTTCTTATCGGCTTAGTCCCTTTATTAATCAGGGGTCGCCACAGCGGAATGAACCGCCAACCTATCCAGCAAGTTTTCCAGCCGCAAGCCATCTCTGGGAACATCCACACACACACTCATACACTACGGACAATTTAGCCTACCCAATTCACCTGTACCACATGTCTTTGGAATGTGGGGGAAACCGGAGCACCTGGAGGAAATCCACGCGAACGCAGGGAGAACATGCAAACTCCACACAGAATCGCCAACTGAGCCGAGGCTCGAACCAGCGACTCAGCGACCTTCTTGCTGTGAGGCGACAGCACTACCTACTGCGCCACTGCTTTGCCCCTATGTGGGACAGCTCCTTTCTAAATCTGTGACACTGTACATAACTTCCCGTTCCCTGCGGTCTGCTGATTCTCTCACTCTTCAACAGCCACCCTGTACATTAAAATCAATGGGGGAGAGGCTTTTCTGTTACGGAATGCTCTCCCTTATTCTGTAAGGAATGCTTCATCTTATTCTGTACGAGTGTGTGTGAGAGAGTGTATGGGTGTTTCAAAGCATGGTGCTGGGTTGTGGCTGCATAAAACATATGGCTACAGTAGTTCATTTTCTTAATTATCTTGTTTTTGTCCACATACTTATTCTTTAATGAGCTTCTACAGTAAAAAAAACAAATTATGAAAGATGTAAACATTCAATAGCAGCTTTTAATTACTGCAAGATGGGAACCCTATACAAGGAACGAATATTAGGTAATAACATGCAGCTTTCATTTGCTTTTGAAAACTATTGGTTGGGTTTAGGACAGTGGTTCACTGGGTGATCTTGCAACAAGTGCCTACTTCTCATTGACGTGTGCACTAAGGAAATGTAAATGAAATGTAGATCAATGTGTATCCTGAACATATTTTAAATTTGCAAAACTATAGACAGCACCCTCTAGAGGATTTACTATCTGAAATGTGCAACAAAATGCACCCAACATGAGATATTGTCATTTCAAAAGACAGTACAATTTGTATCTGGATCATGGGAATGAAAAAAAAAACAGTATACTATCTTTCATTGCAGTAATTCCCATTTAAAACATTTATTTTCAACTCCCTATAAGTGTGAGGATGTTTTGCTGTAAACTCACACAAACTATTATGTAGACTTTCCTTCTCTTTGCATCCTAAACTTTTAGATGTTGTGAGGATGCTGGTTTTCAAGAGATCATTAATGAGAAATAGGCTAGTTTTTGGACAGCAGTCACATTTTAAATACATTTTGGGACCCCAGAATGATCAAAAAAATGCATAATCACAAGACATTTGGTAGATTGAAGAGCTTACAATACATTTTTTTTAAACTGACCTCCCCGAGGGGAAAACATTTAAAGTACTCAAATACATTTTGAGTCTGTAATTCAAGTAATATTGTGCTATTTCAGATGTCTGGAGCCCTGTGGTCAGGCATCTGTTTACATTAACCTCTAATCTGTTCTCTCTTGGTATAGGCAAAAGAAATAGGCCATGGCATCATGGCGAACACACACACACATAGGCAAACTCTCTGAAAACCAATTACGGAAATGAGCAAATGCTTTAATAGGTGAGTTTTACTTTTCTTAGAACCCCTTCTTTTCAGTATCTCATTGATATAAATACAAACATAAATTAGTGTGTCATTGTTAAATCATATGCCTGTTCATTTATTAGCATACTTTACCAAAAGATTGTTCCAGAAGAGACATTTTACTTTCTCAGCATGGCATATGATGTAATTTTGAAAGTGCTCAGAGCACCAATGTTAACAGAAGGAAAAGAACTCATTGCATTTGACTGACCTTTTCTGTTGTGAGCTCTCTGACCATGCTCATTTGTCCACGGAACTTGAAGAGCAGGGCCTCGAGAGCCATGTACTTCTCTTTCCATGCCCCACCTGTGCTTTCATCACACTCTGCCATGCCAAAATCGCTCAGGCTCTGCCACATCACAACATGAGACAGAAGACAATGGATACACATGTAGTAAAATAAAAAACACTGAAGAATATTAACTAATGTGGTTCACACTTGTTTAGTGTGAAGCAACAAATAGTACAGTTCTGATACACTTTGTATCCAAACATTGGAAGTTGTCAGGCTAAATAATTCAAATGAATTATTCACTTGTGCTGTTTTCATTTATGTCAAAAACAGATTTTATTTTACAATTCAAAATGGCATCTTCTGATATCTTTTTTAGCTGCAGATACTGTTCTTAAAAACAACAACAAAAAAAAAGTTAAAAAAAAATTCTTAGCAAAAGAGCCAAAGAAAATCGGCACACTGCCACTTTAGCTCTCAAAAAATCTTTAATAAATAAATAAATTAATTAAAGAATTTTGAGACCTAAAGTAACAGTATGCCGATTTTCTTTGGATCTTTAGCTACAAATGTTTGCTTTGTGATCGAGCACCTGCCTTCAAGATTTTCTAGATGTGCGCACATTTCTGTTTTTTGCAATAAAAAAATGTTACACATACCTTAGGAATTGCAAAACGTTTTGACAGTTTCAAAACCTTGACTTTTTCAAACTGTGGTATACCTTGAAAACGGTTATCGTCCCATGCCTATTGTACTGCAACTAGTATGTTCAGTTCAATATATTTAAGGGTTTATTTAGTTGTTAAGGTGTAAAATCAGACAGCCCACGCTTGAGGTGGCTTCCTGAAAATCAAAAGTTCTTGTGCATTAACTCCATTCTGTCCTTTTTACCAGTGCATCTTATTACAGTGCAGATGTTTTAGGTCCATGGTGCATTAATATTTCAGTTGAACCCAACCAGTGGTCTTTGGAAGCAGACAGATGCATTTTTGTTTTTTATTCTGAATCACTTTATGTTTGCATGATCAGACTTGTGTCATCTGTTTACCCCTTTAATTTCTAATGATAGCAGCAGATGTCTGAATGGCTGGCAATTTGAAGAATTGTGTTTTCCATGCGTCAGCACAGAATCGCACATAAATCTATTTGTCGTTAATACAAAAATGTTTTTTATTTTTTATTTGATATAATGAAAAAATTAAATTGAATGAAATATTTGTGTTAAATTGATTGTATAATTTAATACCTCATAACATTTCAAATATTTTAAATAATAAAATAAAATAAGTTTCAAGAATCAGTGCTCAATAATCTGATAAGCTGTAAAGTTAGCTCGACTAATGTCACATTGTGCTGTGCAGTGCATGAATTAACATTGAATTAACATGAATTACATAAACAAAGGTAATACATAGTTATAACATGCATTAAGTAGAATTTAAATTAAATAATTTGGCAGGCCACCCATAGAATAGACTGTAAATTCATTCATTTTCTTTTCGGCTAAGTCCCTTTATTAATCTGGGGTCGCCACAGCGGAATGAACCATCAACTTATCCAGCATATGCTTTACGCAGCCGATGCCCTTACAGCTGCAACCCATCACTGGAAAACATCCATACACACTCATACATCACGGACAATTTAGCTAACCCAATTCACCCATACTGCATGTCTTTGGACTTGTGGGGGAAACCAGAGCACCCGGAGGAGACCCATGTGAACACAGGGAGAACATGCAAACTCTTCACACAGAAATGACCCAGCCGAGGCTCAAACCAGCGACCTTCTTGCTGAGAGGTGATTGTGCTACCCACTGTGCCACCCAGACTGTAAATAAATAAATAAATAAATAAATCTAGTGCCAACCCTGTGCCCTCCTCTGGCAAATAAGACTGAGGGTTTGAATCTCAACCAATGTCAATAAAGAACTTAAAAACTAACCTGAAACAGTCTACTTGAGTAGAAAAATTTACTAAACATCGACACCAAAGATTTACAGGGTCATTATCATATTATGTTTAAAATTACCCTGGTAAAAGTTGAAGTAGTGACTACAGTTTTGTACTTAATTAAAAGTAAAGGAGTAGAGCCTCAAAAATGTACTGATGTAAAAAGTATCCACTACTACTTCCTGTTTTATTTTCACGCTGGAAATTGGCCTCATGGACACATTTACACAAAAGTACATTACATTTCTAATTTTATGTAAAAAAGTAACTAATTTTCATTGAGGTGAAGTTGGTTTTATATTTTATATATGACACACTCCCTGTATTGTTTACCATGGTACTTTGAATATTTGACTGAAATCACATGTAAACATGACTTCAAAACAACATTTATACTATTTAGTTGGTTGTGAACAATGTTGTACTTTGCTAGTCGCTGGATGCTATCATAATTTCACTATTAAGTATTTGCAAAGAATACTTTTTTGAAATTGTATTATTAAGTAGGAAATCTGAACGTGTGAAAATAAAACCAACCTTACCTTAGTTTAACTTTTAGCAGAAATGTAGTTAAGCAACATCAAACATGCAATATTACCCAACAACACAGCTCAAAAAGTTGCCCTTGGATCATCAGCTTGACAAACTCAGCATTCAGCATGGTTTGCTGCTTCTAGATCAAGAACAACAGCTGCCATTCATGTTCATACACTCTGAGAATTTAAATCCTGTAAGCCTATATCTTCACAAATAATAAATATTTTACACTTAATTTAGTCCTAAACATATTTGTTTTTCTTTGGCTATAACATAACCGATTTTACTATTGTTTGGCATTAGGCTAAAGCTGCATCATTATCTTCAAAGCTCTCATAAATATCATGTGTTTTCAGTGTTTGTTTGTTTATTTTCAAAGTACTATAAATATTATATATATATATATATATTTATATATATATATATATATATATATATATATATATATATATATATATATATATATATATATATATATATATATATATATATATATAAAAAAGCAGGAGCTCACACCAACCTGCTTACACCGGGGACGCCCAGCCTGCGGTCTATGTGGGTCCTAATGCCCTAGTATAGTGACAGGGACTCTACATTGCTTAATGAGTGCCATCTTTTGAATGAGACGTTAAACCGATGTCCTGACTCTCTGTGGTAATTAAAAATACCTTCAAAAAAAGAGTAGGGGTTTCACCCTGGCAAAATTTCCCTATTGGCCTTTGTCCATCATGGCCTCCTAACCCTCCCCATATCATAATTGGCTTTATCACTCTGTCCTCTCTCCACCAATCAGCTGGTGTGTTGTGTGCCGTTGCATCATCTATGTGGATGCTGCACACTGGGGGTGGATGAGGAGATTCCCCCATATATGTAACGCACTTGGAGTTCCCAGAAAAGCATAACATAAATGTAAGGAGTATATATATATATATATATATATATATATATATATATATATATATATATATATATATATATATATATATATATATATATATATATATATACACACACAGTTGAAGTCAGAATTATTAGCTCCCCTGTTTATTTTTTTATTCTGTTTAATGAAGAGAATATTTTTTCAACACATTTTTAAACATAATAGTTTTAATAACTCATTTCTAATAACTGATTCATTTTATCTTTGCCATGATGACAATAAATAATATTTGACTAGATATTTTTTAAGACACTTCTATACAGCTTAAAGTAACATGTTAAGGCTTAACTAGGTTAATTAGGTAGGTTAGGGTAATTAGGCAAGTTATTGTAGTATATTGATGGTTTGTTCTGTAGACTATCGAAAAAAAATTATAGCTTAAAGGGGCTAATAATTTTGACCTTTAAATGGTGTTTAAAAAAATGTAAAACTGCTTTTATTCTAGATGAAATAAAACAAACAAGACTTTCTCTAGAAGAGAAAATATTATCAAACATACTGTGAAAATCTCCTTGCTCTGTTAAACATCATTTAGGAATACTTACAAAAAAACAAAAAACAAAGATATATATGCACACACACACGTTTTACTGCTTTTACGTAGATATCAACAGGCTACACAACTTTATCGTGCAATCTGTTTTGAAAAGAACTGTTTATATTTGTATGACTGCAAAATAAGCATATTTAAATTCTTAACGTACATAAAAATAAGTTCTGTTTATCGCTTTTCACTTTTTCACCATGAAACAAAATTAAACATTTTAGATAACATTTAAAAACTATCCTTACCTGACAATAAGCGTAACTGTGCTAAAGACTGCGCTTCACAACGTAATTAAAATAATATTCCGTGATATCCAAGTTGCTATTTCAAATAAGGCTATGAAGAGCGACCGTCTCCCAGTTCATATTTTTCAATCCAGCAGAATCCTGTGGAAGTGGGCTGGCTGGAGGGAGGTTTATTTTTTTTTACAAGCACGTACAATCAAAGCATTGAAGTTGTTGTAAAGACGCATTTAGAGAGCGGCGGTGTCGTAAATGACTGACTGTCCCCAGGACCAATCACATATCGTAACGGTTTTGCCTGGACTAATCATGCTTTTCCTGGGCGGTCTTCCAGCGCGATACCGGAATTGACGTGGTTTACACGTGTTTGCTACTGTGGAAATACTCTATCTACACGCAGTATTGAACTTTTTTCCATAGGTACTTTGTTACACGGGTAAGGCAATGTGTTGTACATCAAATTGCAATTAATCTACAATAAAACAATAAGAGTATACTCTTTGGAAGAAAACGTTTGTTTACGTTACATGTCAGCAGAAAACAGTAATGTAACTAGCACTAGCTCTTGTGCTTTTTCATTGAGGTAAAGTTGGGTTTATATTGGCACATTCTGACTTTCCCCTAAATAAAATTAGTTTCTGAAAAGTATTATTTGCACATTCTAAACACTGGAATCATATTAGCAGCCAATCACTATAAAAGTACTACGTTGTTCACAGTCAATTAACGTTAAATAGTGCTAATGTTATTTTGTTGTAACTTGTGTTTGATTTCAGAGCGAATATTCAAAGTACTATGGTAAACATTATAGGAACCATGTCACAAGTTGTCCCATAACGATTGTGCAAAAATAAAACCAACTTTACCTCAATTGTTTATTTTATAGTTTAACTGAGAGCTGTTACAACTTTCAAAAGATAATCTTCTATGTATGTATTATAATGTTTTGAAATAACGTTACCTATAACTTGCAATATATTTGATTTCGTCTGCAGTTGATTTTGCTGCTCAGATCTAGTCATGGTTGTGAAGAAGAAAGCACCTAAAGTGGAAGCTTTCGTATTGGATGATGTTAAGCTGAAGAGCCTGACAGGTGATTTGACAAATAGCAAACATTAGTGTGTGTGTGTGTTTATTTATATATTCATTTATTCAATCATTTTCTTTTCGGCTTAGTCCCTTTATTAATCTGGGGTCGCCAGAGTGAAATGAACCACCAACCTATCCAGCATATGTTTTACATAAAGGATGCTTTTCCAGCTGCAACCCATCACTGGGAAACATCCTTACAGACTCATTTATACACACACTACAGACAATTTACCTTACCCAATTCACTTATAGCACATGTTTTTTTGGACTTGTGGGGAAAACCAGAACACCCAGAGGAAACCCACGCAAACACAGGGAAAACATGCAAACTTCACACAGAACTGCCAACTGACCCAGCCAAGGCTCGAATGAGTGACCTTGCTGTGAGGCGATTGTGCTACCCACTGCGCCACTGTGCTGCCCCTATTTATTTATTTACAATGCTTATGGTTTCCTTTTCTTTATATCTCATGCTTTCTTTCAGATTCACTATCTATGGAAGGTGATTGTAAGTCTACAGAGGTTGCTCAGCTACTGAAGGACAGTTTATCTTCCTTTGACCCAGTTGAGCAGATCCAGCTCATCTCAAAGGTTGGTCTGCATTGCATTCATCTTATAGGGGAATTACCAACCGACGTCACATATGATGTCACACGGGTTCAACCACGCATACCGGTTGCAAAAAAAGACCAGTTGCAATAGCAAACATGTCGTGTTGTGCTGTAGCCAGGATGCCAAAAATAGAATACTTAAATGTTACCGTACACCACATTGCTTTTAATGTCAACCGCAGACATCTTTGGCTAAGAGCCATCATAAGAGCTGAATGGAGTGAGGACCTAATTAAAATTGCTCAACTCACGCTATGCTGAATCATACACATTACTCGTTTGTGATTGCAGCAATGATTTCAGCAAAAACAGTTAAATATAGTTAATTAAACTGCGGACACTGAATGCCTAGAATGAATTGTTAACTAATTTTGCCAATTAAGTGTGCTTATTACTGGGTGACAAGCTGTTATATATGCTGAAAGCATTATGTAAGTAACAAATATAATATGTAATCAATATAACTTATCTCTAAAACAACAACAAACTCTGTACTACATCTGATGTCATTCTCTCGCTATAAATGCTAGCGCTCCTGTTTTTTTTCTGCAACCTAGTTTTGCGGGCATCCTGAATGTTTACAAACCGGACAATTTACAAGTATGTGATGTTCAGTATAAAACACAAATACTTTGTATGTTGATTGCAGGCAGGCTGCATGCTGGAGCAGCTGATAGAGGATGAGTCTCCGTCGAGTCCTTTATTGGAGGCATGTCTGCATACCCTATCATTCCTGTATATCACACTGCCAGCTAAGAACCCGTTGAAAAGAGCTGTATCAAGGTTAAAATAACTTTTAATTCAAGTGTGATTAGACATCATCAACTTTATCTTAAAATTAATGATTTCTGGAGTATCTGTTTACAAATACTTACTTGTTCATTTTGTTCATCCATGTCTCCCCTCAGTGCATTGGGTAGTGGTCCAGATTGGCTACAGGAGCAAATGGTTAGATGTCTGTCTGAGGGTCTGTCTGCTGCTTTCTCCTCTGCAAGCACAGATCAATTCTCAAACCTAACGGATAGCATCACTTCCTGTCTGAGTGGCTTTGTAATCGGTATGAATGGTGATGTAGTTATATTCAATTGAGTCATAATATCAGATATACATTACTGCTATGTTTTGGTCATTTAGGTTATATTTGCTAGACATTCATATTTAGCACAGGTGTTAAAGGAGCATCCCACTTAATTGGAAAAAGGCTCTTATAGTTGAACAGTTGACTTGAACCATTTTTTTAACCTGTTCAGTTGATTCCCTGTTCTGGTAGGTTCACTCTTAGAATTTTGTTAAAAAAATATGCACAGCTACATTTTACCCCTATTGTTAAATTACATTTTATTGAGTATTTTGAGAACTTTTGTGTAAAACAAATAAACAGGATACACTATGTTGTGCGGGAAAAATGTTTTTACATTTAAGATTGTATAATTGTTAGTATTTGATGTTTGAAATCCTTGTTTTTCCTTTGGCCTGCTTACGTACTTTTTTTTAGCATTAGTGATTAATGTAAAATTGTTCTGTTTGGTGTACAGGTGAGAAATGTGTCCATCATTTGTTAACAGAAGGTTAGTATACAAAACATTTGCCATCTTATCTTTTCAGCTTTTGTTTTTCACAAACTAAGACACTGATTTTTCTCATAGTTCTCCAGTTCTTTCAAAAGGCTTTGAATTACTACGTGGAGCAGAACAGGTACAATGTTCACCATTGTGTTGTACAGTGTGCCGTATGCATGGATCAAGCGTTATATTCTGTTCTTGCTGAATCTGTCAATTGCATGTAACATTTATTTTGTTGTGTCTTCATGTGTGATGTGTTACTTAGGATTCTGGTCGGTTGTCACGTGGCTCAAGCTCAGCTGATGCAGTACTCTCTGGCTGCGGTGAAGGCCTCAATGCTGGTGGTTCAGCAATCCCAAGAACCTATTAGTGCTGCAGTGCTTTCAGCTTCAAGTGACCAATCCGATCTCTATCAAGCTCTCAGTGGACTGCTCAACTGCTATACTTGTGTTTTAACTGATGGTATTGTGGAGATTATGTTTATTCTATATACACTATACTCTCCTTATCAAAATTGACCAATTGATATTATATTTATGTACTTTTCATTCAGAGGAGTTTGTTCAGGCGGTTCAGAGCACTGCTGGGATGGCTGCTGTTTTACTTATTAGATCTTTATTGGGCAATGGAGACAATCTCCACTTTATTGTAAGTGAAAATGTTCTTCATCCATTGTTTTTTGGACTAATATTTTCCAGCTTTGATTAAATTCAATGCGAGTTACATTTCATCCCATTCTGGACCATGAAAAAGAGAAGTTGAGTGTGAAATGTGTTTTTAGGTTGCAGGTCTCCTTCAGTGTTCAGTGGATGCTGGGAGCACCCCTCAGTGGTTAAGGAAGAGCTGTGCAGGTCTGTATGAGAGCAGCAGGCCTGCAGCTGTTGCTCTGTATTTGAGTCATGGAGCTTTGGCTATGCTAAGCTGGAAAGGGAAGACACTCAGTCCACAGGCAGTGAAACTTCTGCTGCTCATTCCTGATGTGCTCTTATCTTTACATACAAGGTACCGAATGATCACAATTACATTTACACTAAAATAAACAATTGACACTTGTAAACCTTAGATATATTTGCAAAATTAAGTTTTATACATGCACTGCAATTTTCTATTAGATTTTATGTACACTACCTGTACTTATTTATTTTTATTGCATAACTACAGTTTGGATTTGGTATTACTTTTACTAAATATTTTATATGACATCTCGTATGCTCAGTTGCCCACCATGGATGCATTTTTTTAAATCAAAAATACAGTAAAACAGGTGAAACTATTTTTTATGCCAATGCAGTTTATTTATATGGTTGCAAACAAAACCAACTTTTAATTATTACTCCAGTCTTCACTGTCATATACTCTTCAGAAATCAAATTAAAGGTGCTGTTTGTACGTTTTTGACTCTTCTAAAGCATAAAAATACCATAATATGTTTGCAGATATTTAAGAAACATGCCAAATGAACATTGTTTATCTGAAAAACAATGCTAAAGTCAGATATTCTGCTTTAAAAATGTGTTTTCCGTGCAGGAACACTGTCTTTGTTTTGATTATTTTAACCTGTCCAATGCCAATTTAGCCAAATATATTTCGGCACCCCGTGTTGCCTTGGCCGAAAACCACAAATTTCATTCATTCATTCATTCATTCATTCATTCACTCATTCAGAAAGGCTATCAAAGCATGCGCACATGACTGAAATGCGACCTCTGGTGACCAGTAGCAAACTCTGAAGTGAGACGCAGATTCAGAGTTCCATATGAACTTTTTATTTAGCAAATAATATAAATATTACGAGCGTAAACACTAGGTGAGCAGGTTGCATTGTTACCCTGTGTCCTAACAACACGCTACATGATGAGTTTTTCAGTGATGAGCAATTTGGATCAGCAAATTTGCACTCGACGCAGCACGACAGAAATTTAAATACAGCAATTCAGAAGCACAGAATATACACTCATGAAATGGTAAGGTTTATAATCTAATTAATACATATTAAACCTCTTTAACATTATTAAATGTAGATGCTAAATGACTGATATGTGTCCAGCTGTTTATTTTAATTTCAAGATCTGAGGTGAACTATCTGCTGCTGCTTTCAGTAGTGTGGCAATAAATGTAAAATGGCATTCCAACTTACATATTTAGCATTTAACACTGAATAAAGCAAACAAGGTGTACCTGAGATGATCATGTCAGTTTTCTGTTGTTCAGCTGCAAGAAATTGAAGCCGTTTCTAAAATATACTTTTCAGGTGTTGGTTAAAACAAAAACAAAAAATATTCCTTCCATCACGTGCCATTGCTTTTATTTAGAATACGACTCTCACGAAAGACTCACTCCGTCAATCTGGCAACCTGCGCTTGTGTTTGTTTTGATCCAGAAATGTAATACCTAGTTCAACCACTGGGTGTCAAATTTACATACTGCACCTTTAATGTACTGATTTGGTATGCAGATAATTTGCATTTGCTTTTAACAATGGTGAAAACACATGTGCTACTAATGTTTTTGTGTAAAAATTATAATACTTTTTCAAAATAAAAACTAAAATTATTAATTTAAAATAGAAATCCTTTGAAATGTATTTATTACTGTTGATAAGTACTGTTGATCAAATCCTGGCCTTAAGTTCTTTTAAAAATACCCCACACCTTTGATCAGTACTTCATATTTAAAGAAAAAAAAAAGCTAAAGCCTAAGTATGAACACTTTTTTTTACTGTTGTAGCATCTGTTATATTTTCTTTACATAGTAAACTGTTAGGTCATTAAGAAGTTAATTGTGCTGTGCGACATGAATCTCTCCCTCAGAGTCAAGGAGTCCAGTACAGTGATGGTAGTGGCTCGAGTTTTGACTCTTTGGAGTGGGACTGCAGTTGACTGTGTCCAGGAAGACACGTGCACTGCTCCCCTATGCTTAAATCTGGTTGGTGGCTCCCCTCTTATCGCGCGCCTTCATCACCACATCTACACCCACTGGGAACATCCACTGGATGGGGTTCGCCACCAAACACGCTCCCTTTTCCAGAACCTTCTTACGATTCACCAGCATTGCAGTAATCACAAGTCCGATCCCACCAGTGACCCTTACCTTACCCAGCTTACCCAGGACCTTCTAGCTCTAGAGTGGCATATGAAAGGGAAATATGGTACTTTGGCCTGCCTAGTGGAACATATAGGTGCAGAATATCTGCTCAAGCTTGATAGTGGACTGCCGTCCAGATTGCTGGGACTAATGGGGGATCAAACATTGGCACCATATGCCAGTGACCTTCTGGAGAAGCTATTTGTCAGCCATAAGGCCCAGCTATGTATGCGGTTTAAAAATGGACATGGATGGATAGACAGGTGGCATGAGGTTTGGGTGACCCCTCTTCTGCAGGTGCTGTGCACAGCCCAGTTGGATCAAACCACTTATATACTTGACTACTTCCTTCCCAAACTTTTACGCTGTAACCCCAACAGCCTTGGCCACATGGTACAGACCCTTCAGGAGATGCCATCTTGCACGGAAAGTAAGAGTCTATTAATCTGCATTGTAACTTTTCTGTACATTGCTGTTCAGTGGATTAGGACGAAGATGGTTTTGTTGTATTGTATTCAGGAAGCGCACATTATATTCATCGAATGTGATATTAAAGACAAATAAAAAGAGAGATATATTTAGCATACAAATACTTTTGGTCATGATGAGAAATGGGTCTTGAGCTTGGAATTAGGATGTCTGAAGAATCATGGTAATTAGTGATAGAAAGGTTAGTGAAAAATATATTGAAAAAGAAATCAATTGTCTTTAAACAGTAATTGCTTTAATTAAGCATAAAACTGTCCAGTGATTGTTTGAATTTTTTGTGTGTAACATTTAAAGCTATAGTGAAAAAGACAATAGATAATTAAAGCTGCAAGCAGCAATGAAAGGGACGTCCCACCAATGCTCACCGCGCACCGTGGCCTTGGGATGACAGAGAACAGTGGACAATATTAATTTAAGCTGATATATATATATATATATATATATATATATATATATATATATATATATATATATATATATGTATGTATATGTGTGTGTGTGTGTGTGTGTGTATATATATATATATATATGTATATATATGTGTGTGTGTGTGTATATATATATGTATATATGTATGTATGTGTATATATATATATATATATATGTATATATATGTATGTGTATATATATATATATATATATGTATGTATATATATATATATATGTATATATGTATGTATGTGTGTGTATATATATATATATATATATATATATATATATATATATACATATGTGTGTGTGTGTGTGTGTATGTGTAAACAAAAGAAAATCACAGATTTATGCCAAACTTCCTTCTGTCAGCAGGTGGCACAATAACTGTGACTCAATATTGGCATGTAGATCTCTTCAGAAGAGAAATTTTAGCAACCATGTGAAGTTTTAGGCAGATTGGACATTGTGTGGTTGAGTTATAAGTACTTCCTCTTCCATGGCGAAACGCTGAGGTTTGTCAGGCCGCCACGGACTCGCCCTTTGACAAAAATTCTAGATCTTCACAATAAATATAATCGTTAGAGCTTTCAGATAACACCAGCCAAATTTGGTGCTGATTTGGTAAAATATGTGGGAGGAGTTTGTCACAGTGTAAAACATGTCATTTCCTGTTGCCAGCAGTTGGTGCTTTAACTGTAACTGGATATTGGCATGTACACGAGTTCAAGTCAGGACTGTTATCAAATGTGTCAAATTTGGAGGCAGATCGGACAACACATGCCTGAGTTAAATCAACTTTCTGCTTTGTGGCAAATTATCAAAGTTTGTGAGGCCGCTACGGACACGCCCTTTAGCGAAAACTCTAAACCTTCGCAATTTACAATGCCAAGGCCTTTAGATGACAATAACATATTTGGTGATAAAACCCCTTGCAGGAGTTTGTTAAAATACAACGCCTGGAAATGGCAAAAACGACTCTTTTTCGGCACAGGAAGTTAAAAATATCCGACTTTCTATTGGGTTGAGATTCACTCTCAGAGACGTTTTTGTAAGTTTTGGCATGTTTGATGTGTGTGCCAATTTTCGTATGTGTGCGTGAATCGCAGCTCACGGGGGCCAGTCCGTCAAAATGCATAGGTGGCGCTGTTGAGTTCCGGTACTCAGTCCTTAATAATTGTGGTCCTGGAAATACATTTTAAGAAAACAAAAATGTTCAAATTATGAATTTTCTGAACAATCTAACATAATCGGTTTAAATAACATTAATGATAATAGTTAAATGTACTGACTGGTAAGTATGTGGTGAATGGAAGTAGATGGTCAGACTTGGATGGAAGATTAGTGAAGTTTTTTTTTTTTTTTCATTTATTTACAGTGAATTTACTACAGCAGATTACTTATTCACTTAATGTGATCTACCAAAATAAATATGTTTTTGTTTCTCTGATTTCAAATCCAAAGAGTGCATTTTTTCTCAAGCAGAGTATTTATAAAGTTTGCTGTAGTAGAAATTGCCACATGGTAATAGTAAACATGTATATTAGAGATGTTTTTGTAAGTGTTAAATGTGTTTGTTTCTTAGGGGTGACTGGTAATAGGGGTGCGTTAGGGGCTCTGATGACGTGTCTGCGTGCTGCTCGTTCTCAGGGTGTTCTTAAGCTTGTAGATGAGAAGTTGTGGGGTTGCCTAGTGCCAATCCCACTAATGCAACAGGCTCTGGTACACAAACATGATCAGGTAAGCGTTATTGCATTTTTGTATTCTTTAAAACATGTCTCACGTGCTGAGGTGTGTGTAATTTCTATGGTTTTGGACTGTGTTGTTGTTTTATCCATTCAGGTGAGAATGGATGCCCTGGGGTTGTTGTGTGAGACCCATCGCAGCACAGAAACAGTGTCCAAAGACGAAATGGATCTGATTCGCCACTTCTTGCCATTTAATCTGAATAGTCAGTCACCCGGAATCAGACAGCAGACAGTCAGTCTGTTAAAGAAGGTTGGAAATAAGGTTACATAAAGGTTTGATTGTTCAGTGGGTTTAGCAAGTGTGTTCTGATTGGCTTACATCTGTTTTGTTGTGTTTTCAGCTCTTGTGTAGGGTGAAAGACAGTGCTCAGCTGCTGCAAAAGAGACTAGACCAACATGAGACTGACACAGATCAGGAGATCCTCAGCATGTACAAGGTAGAGCTGTGGTACAACCCAAACAATCAGTTAAATTGCATAGATCGTTCTTTTAATGGCCATAACTTTTTGTCTGCACATGATTTAGCTCATTCTTGCATTTGAAACCTATGATATTGTGTCTAAAAAAGAAGAAAAAAAAGATAAATCTCCTTATGCCTAGTTCACACTAGAGGATTTTAAGCCTGATTTGAGCCCGA